TCCGGCTTTACAACCAGTCGTCAACTAATGGATTTACACATGATAATAATGTTTTTTTCATAAACTTTAGGTGTATATTGAAAAGCAACAAACAAGACTGACCGATCCGCATCATCATATTTAATTCTGAAATGAACAAGTGAGAATCACCACCACCACCACCACCACCACCAAACACAAACATGACGACCAATCGTTAACCAACCCATAGGTAGTGTATATATATGTGTGTGTGTGTATATATGGTGTTTGTATGTAAGAAACAAAAAAAAACTTGAGAGACTATCAGTGTTTTTTTTCAATCTTATCATCATCATCATCACCATTGCCATATTATGTATGCGTGTGTGTGTTTGCACCCTTAAAAAAAACCAGACACACACATACACAAAATGAATGAATGAATGAAAAAAGGTAGGATATGAACAGAAGACGAATATCATCATCAAGACAACAACAAGAATTAAAACAGAATCCACAAATTGGTAGCAATTTTTAAATCCGTTATGCTTACACATTTAAATTTCATTTCATTCTTTATCATGCATCTGATATGATCGGTTCAACCACAATCTGATCTGATCTGGAAAATCTATGACCTATGCCTGTTTGTTTCTATGCATGTGTCTGTCTGTGTGTGTGTGCGTGTGTTTGACATTGAGAAAAACCCGAAAAAAAATTCTACCGGCTAAACTAGTGACAAATCAAAAATTTTTTTTTTAAACATTTTTCCACCACCATCATCATCATCGTGTTTATTGTTGTTGTGCAATCTGTGGTCATTTTTTTTATTATTTAATTTCATTTCTCTCTCTCTACTGTTTTTTGGCATCATCATCATCATCATCATTAATATTCACAATTTTAAAAGGAAAATTAAATCATAACTATATTTGTGTGTGTGTGTATGCCTGCGTTATAACATTCAACGAAATCATCACATGTATAAATAAATCAACAGATAAGCAACAGGTAAGTTATTATTTATTATTTTATGTTAATATAAACAATGATGATGGTGATTATGATGGATATATGGCATTGAAATTGAAATTGAAATTGAAATTCATTTTCAGCGATAACGATAGAGTTATAATCTGAATTACATTATTATTTATTATATGACGACAATCATGTCATTTTCAACGTCATCCTGATTTTTTTTGTTTATTTTTCTGTTTAAAAATCCAAACAAACCCGAAATTCAATTATTAATCAATTAACATTGAATAAATTTCAATTTCTATTGAAATCAATCATTTACACGCACGTAAACAAACAAACACACGCACACACATATTTAATGATTGATTAGAATTTTTTTATTCTGTTATTTACCCAAAAAAAACAACAACACAAAACACTGATGATGATGATAATAAGTTTGTTTGTCTTTGGCTAGATTTGAATGTCTGTGTATGGATAGAGAGATAGGAAACATAAATTTTTTGTCATCTCAAGGTAATTAATGTGATTTTTCCTCTTTTTTTTCCTTTTATTTTTCACGAAAAAAAAATCAAAATCATCAAGGGCAAAGGTCAGGTGAACTATCGATTTTTATTTTCAGGGAGAATTCTTAATTCACTGAACTCTCTCTCTCTTTTTCACCTACGCACTGCTAATTTATTCAATTTCGATGTCATATCAATAGACACACACACATGTGTGTGTGTGTGTTCAGATCTTTAAAATTAATTTATTCTTTTTTTATGATAATTATTATTATAATTAATTTGATCACGACGAATACGGATTTTAACTATCAAAAATCAAAGAAAAAAAAAAATAAATAAACAATAAACAATTTCAACAGGTTTTCCTCATCATCATCTATTCTTTTGCTGCTGATACTTGTTGAATGGTTGAATGAATGACAACTGTTGATAGTAAAAGTTATGATTAGATTTAAATGATGATGATGATGATGATGAGATAGGAAAAATGAAATTTAAACAAGCAAAAATCATAGCCTTCAGTGAAGAAAAAAAACAAACACCGCATGTATAGAAATCTTTTAATGCAAAAATAGAATGACAATTTTTTGTTGTTGTTGTTGTTGTTGTCATGTTGAATAAATAAACAGAAACAAATGAACGAAAGGAAAAAAATTGAATTCAACGCATGAGCATCATCATCGCCAGATGATAATTAATTAATTTATTATATGACATCAAATTGAAATTGAATCTGAAAAAAATTTATAGAGCAAAATTTTTTTTCTTTTTTCTTTCTATTCTGGTCACATAGTCACGAATTTGATGGTGATTCTAAGCAATCGTAAAATTTTTTTTTTTTTTTTCCTTTTCTAATAACCAGATTTTCTATTTCCAAAGAAAAAAGTTGCATTTGTTTCTCATCATCATCATCATCATCATCATGATGAATTTTAGATTCAATCGAGAAAAAAAATTAAATATTCATTATATCGGTGACCGGAAAATATAAACAAATCGATGATTGAAGGTCAACAGAATGAAAATTCCTTCATCATCAAAATCTTTTTTTTCCTCATAAAGTTCCAACTGTTTTTTTGTTGTTAGATCCATACAGATTCATTGATTGATTGATTGATCAGAAAAAAAACAAGATGTGATTAAAATTAACTTAGTATGGCTACCTGTTTGATTCTTTATATCATATATATCGACAATTCCGGTATTGAAAAGAAAAAACAAAGAAAATAAAATTGACAATTAATCAATCATTCAAAAATGTGGATAATTTATTCAGTTTATTTTTTTAGTGATCGATTGGTGATGATGATGATTTTTTGTTTTATTTTTTCATTCATAAATTCATTTTTCACCACATTGATAATGATAATGTGTATGAATGTTTCAATGTTCAAGTTTATTATCATTTGTATGTGTACAGATTAATTAGCCATATAACGCAACAGGTATCTGTCACTTTGTGTTTATATATGTCTTATGGGAAAAAAAAAATTGTTCCGTCATTTATCATTGAATTGTCATCATCATCAAGATTTTTTTTCGTTGTTGTTGTTCGGCCTATTGTTTTTTGATGTTTTCTCTTGTGTACAAAAAACAAATAATGATGATGATGATGATGATGATGATTAGTCATGGTCTAATCATGCATACATAAGCGGCTTTCTTTTGTTTGATCGATCGATAGATCGATTGATTGATTGATTGGTTGGTTGGTTGGTTGTTTTGAATAATGGTTAGATTGCGAGATCGAAAGTGATGTATATTTTTACTGTTTTTTTTTAAATCTTTATGTATACAGATTTCTTGACGAGTAGTAAAAGTAGCTAGTTCCGTTTTAGATTCTATTGTTTTTTGTTTTGTGTGATTGTACTCGTGCCACTGCTAAAATAGCCATTCAGTTATTTTTCTCTGTCTACAAAAGGTAATAAAAATTCAATGATTGAATATGATTTTTTTTTTCTGGCGAATCAAGGTGAACAAAAAGACCATAATAAAGAAATATGGGTATTATAAAATGAAATTCCAATTCCAATTGGAACTGGAAACATCATTTTTTTTGTTATCAGTGAAACTGAATGAGAAAAAGTGAATGAAAAAAAAACTTGACAATGAATAACTCCCAAAAATAGCCTGTTGAATTTTGTTTTTTTTTTTCATTTTTTTTTTTTTTGAAAAAATTTCAATGTCATTATCACGGTGAAATTTTTTTTTCATTCGTTTTCATCATTATCATCATTGATTGATCAAGTTTATAACAGCTTACATAAATAAAAACTGGATAGATAGATAGATGGATTTTTTTTCTACATTTGAAAACATTGAAAATGAAATGATTGAATCCTGTCTGTCCATTTTCATTTTCATTTCATTTCATTTTCATTTTCATTTTTCTCTTTTCTTTTCTTTTTCTTTTTGTTTTTCTCATTAACAATTATTGTGATGATAATAATGGTCATTATTATGAGTACAATGATGATAATAATCATAAAACACTATAATTCATAAATTTTTCTGTTTTTTTTTGAGAAATTCTATAATTATCCCATTAAGATGATGATGGTGAGAATGAATTGTTCAAATTCAAGTCTGTGTAGGTGCTCAAAAAAGTCTTGGTAGTACCTACATTTTCATTAATTAATGATGACTTGATGAGATTTTTTAAACACTGATAACAGGGTGGTTAAAAAAATTCTATCTGTGTATTTAGCGAAATTGAATCAGATATAAATTTTTTTTCTCGAGTTCCGTGAAAAAAAAAATAATACCGGGTGGAAAAAATTTTTTCACATCTTTAAACCAAATATTTTTTTACCTATGTGTGTTTTGTGTGTGTGTGTGTTTTGTTTCTAGAACAATAACCGCTGAATGATGAGTGTGTTGAGAAATAAAAACAAGACAACAACAACAAAAAAGTTCAAGTTCATCATCATGCATTTTTCATGGACATACAAATGGTAAACATCACATGAATATATATATAACAATGAGAAAATACTCGGAAGTATGCAAAGAGGCGCCAAAGAGCCTCTTTTAATTTGTTTTAGATTGATATAAATTCCTAAACATGCGCACACATTTGCCGATTAAAGCTGCACAATTTAATTATTTTTTTTAATTTTTTTTAAAATTTTTTTTTTTTAGTATCCACATGACGACAAATATTTCAATCAGGACTTAGGACCATTTTGTTTTTTTCATTTTTCAATTTTTTTTGGTCAACAAAGCAAACGAAAATGAAAAATAACCAAAAACAACGACGACAACAACAAGAGAAATGCGAATCATACAATCATAATTTAATTGATGACAATAATGATGATATGGATTATTATCATAATAATGATGATGGAATAATGATGATTGAATCTTTTCGGACATCTACCATGATGGATAATGATGAAAAAATAGATTACAACATTTTGTCTTTCAAAAATGACCATAATAATATTAATAACGATGATGATGATGATGGTAATTCTGATCAATTAGTCAATGATAATCATAAAAATTGTGAAAATGATAGTAAAAAACAAATTCCACAATCATCATCATCATCATCATCGATAATCATTATGAAGAATCATAAATTGCGAAGAAAATATCGAATGTTAAGTATGTGTAAAATTAATTTTCAATCATGAAATTTATTCATTTTTCAATGAAAAAAATCTTTTCACACTCACACACTCATAGATGAATGTCACAATATAATCCATATAAAATGTACAACGATGTTGGCTTTGATAACGACAATTTTTCTGGTCATTTCATTATTGCCTCTCATCAACACTGGTAATTGATTAATGAATGAATGACTGCTTTCTATTTTTCATTTTTTTTTTTTTTTTTTAAAAATTCAATATTTAGCTCCATTCCATACATATGGTCGATTCCGTTCACCGAAAGATAAAGGTTAGTGGCCTTAGTGTGGTAATAATTAATTGAATTTTGAAATTGATTTTTTTTTCTTTCTTTTTTGAATATTGATAGGCTGTTATTATTTATTAAAACATTATGAAAATGGTGAACAAGTAATGACGAATGAACCATGTTTAAATTGTACATGCACCAATAGTATGTTGATGTGTTATCTACGTGTTTGTCCGTTCATTAAACCGCTTGGTGAAAAATGTACTATTGAAAAAAATGATGGTGAATGTTGTCCATCGATCACTTGTCCTGAAGGTAAAATAATCCTTACATTTTAGATCAATGACTGATTGATTCATTATTGAATGATCAATTTCGTTTGTTTTTTTTCTTAATTTTAAATAGATTCATTGATCGATGAAACAACAACCACAATGATGACAACGACCACAACAACAACAACGACGACGACTACTACAACCACAACTGCTAAACCACCGGTTGTATCGGTTAAGCAGGGTAATTGATTAGCAATTGAATAAATATAAATATTATTATGTAATGTGAAATGTTTTAAGAAAATCTAAATTTTCTTCTTTTCGTTCATTCACAACAGGTTGTGAAATCGATGGATTTCATTATAGTGATGGTGATCTAATACCATCGGATCCATATAAACCATGTGAAATATGTTATTGTATACAGAATCAATCAATGTGTACATTACAGGAATGTCATCTACAAGGTGTTACCGGTTGTCAACCGATTTATCAGAAAAATACATGCTGTCCAGTCAGATATAATTGCTGTAAGTAATTTTTCATTTTGCAAAATTTATGATCGCTTTAAATTCTATATAATTTATTTTGAATAGCAACCGAACAAGGCAAAGAAATGCGTTATACAACACAACGACCTCCAACCAATTGGTTTGATCAGGCGACTAGCAACAACAAATCAGCAGGATGCCAACATGATGGTAAATTTTATGAAGATGGTGCACAAATACCATCAAAAGATAAATGTGAACATTGCTATTGTATGCGTGATGAAATTGTATGCGCCATACAAGAATGTCGGCCACCTTGTGATGGCTGTATACCCATCTGGACGGATAATGATTCTTGTTGTCCGGAAAAATATGAATGCTGTATGTATTATTTATTCATAGAAAATTTTTTTTTGTTAATAATAAACCTAATGATGATTATGATGACATTTAGATCCACAATTTACGATCTACAATGAATCGAATCGAACAAAAACATTTACTACCAACATTGGAAATGAATTTGGTATGAATAACAGTGCAACAAAACCACATCATCATCATCGATTACCGGCACCGAAAGTTGATTTATCATTAGAGCAACAACAACAAAATCTATTCAATCATCCTAAAGATATTAGTATTACGAAAATATTATCGGAAACAAAAAGTAAGTACTTGAATTGAACTAGTTTATAAATAATTCTCTAATCCAACAACAACAACAACAACAAAAACAGGCAACAAAACGCTAGTCAAAATAATCACCAATGGAGATAAAGTGACGAAAAAACCAACGAATAAAAGGCCAAAAATTAAACCAGGACTGATACCTGGTGAAGGTGTTTGCCGATATGAAAAGAAAATCTATCAGAATGGTGAAAAAGTTAATTCAACAAATCCTTGTATTGAATATTGTATGTGCATCAATAGTGTAGTGTATTGTGATGAAATTGTTTGCCAAGTAGATCTGGGTAAAAAACAAAACAAAAATTGTAAAGAAATACATTATAAGAATAGATGCTGTCCACGTTATGAATGTCATGAATATGATATTATTGAACAGACGGATATCAGTGATTATGATGTAACAGTCAAAATTGGTACGAAAACTAAACAAAGACCGGTGTGGAAACCCGAAGCAGTGCCAACTGAATCGAAACCAGAACCAACGACTGAAATTCCATTCGAAATGACTACAATCATTGAACCAGAATTGGTTAAAATTGAAAAACCAGAAACAACTTCGAAAGCAACTATTGAAGTGTTGGAAACAACCACTGTTAGTAAACCAGAAATACCGCCAGTTGAAATGAAACCAGCTTCGACTTTAGAACCAGAGATCCAGACTACCATTGCAACATCAACGATAATTTCTGAATCTACATCATTGCCATCCGTTTCAGAAGAAATGACGACAACCATATCATCGATTGCTGAAGAACATTCAACAATCGGAATGATGCCAGATTTATCACCTGGATCATCTGTAACGAATGTTACATTGCCAAAGGAAAAAGAATTGATTCAATCAACAACTTCTTCACCACCATTAACTGAAACAGAAATGACCAGTATCGTGACAGAACAATCCATCACTACTACCCCAAAAGCAGAACCGAAAATAGGTCCTGAAGTCAAAGAAACTATCAAGCCCGAAATCGAAATTGTAACAACTACATCTTCAGAAATTCCAGCCGTTGAAGTGGGCATTGAAACAACTACGGCAAAATTGCCTACAGCAGGTCTTGAAACTGGAAAAGAATATGAAACAAGTACCGTTGGAATCGAAACAACAACACCATCAGAAATGCCTGTTGTTTCAGAAATTACAACTACACCTTCATCAGAAATTTCCACGACCGAAACAGTTCCAATTACAAGTACCGTTTCACTAGTCGAGGATCAAAGAACAACAACTGAACCAGAAATACCAGCAATTCAAGTAGGTATTGAAACTACCACTCCATCTGCAGAATCACCTACAACTGCTGGATCTACTGAAAAAGAAATGGAAACAAGCACTATCGTGTCTGTCGAAACAACAACAACGACAACCATTGCAGATGTTTCAGAAATAAGTACAGACACAACTGAATCAACCAAGATTTCCGTTACCGAAGAATCGTCCAGTGCATCAATTCCAGCAGAACAAGTTACAAGCACAATTTCGCCTGTTGTAACTGAAACAAAAGAACCAACGACAATTGAAACTGCTGAAAAAGAAATCACTATTAGCACAACACCATCGACAGTTGAAGATGAAATGACCACTAAACCAGTAATGCCAAGCGTTGCTGAAATTGGTGTTGAAACTACAACCACAACTGAAGTTTCAATGACAACTGAAAGACCAGGCACCAGTACAATCTCACAAGTTGAAGCGGAAACAACAGCCAAACCTTCTACTGTTTCAGATATCAGCGCTGAAACAACTACACCATCTGAAATTCCAGCTGTTGAAGCTGGCGTTGAAACAACAACTCCATCAACTTATACAACGAGTACGATTGCTCCTGTTGAAGGCGAAACAACGCCCGAACCTGAAATGACCACTGTTGAAGATATTGGAGTCGAAACAACAACAATGGGAGTTTCTACAACTGAAGGGCCATCCACCGATGCATCAACTTCAAGAGAACCAGAAGTTCCTCCAGTTAAAGTTGGTATCGAAACCACCACCACATTACCAACAGAATCATCCGCAACCGAAATATCATCGGAAAAAGAACCGACAACAACTACTATTTCTGCCGAAATTACAACAACAACACAACCTGTTGTTTCAGAAATCAGCGCTGAAACAACAACCATAACCGAAGAACCAATCACTAGTACTATTTCATCTCTTGAAACCGAAGGAACCACTGAATCAAGAATACCGGTTGTTCAGGTGGAAGGTGAAACTACTAGTACCACAGCTTCAACAATAGCCGAAACGTCAACAACTTCAGCTACTTTTGTAACCGAAACAGAACTACCAGAAATAATCACAATAAGTGATAGACCAATAGGAGCTGGTGATGAATTTGAACATACAACACCGTCAGAAATCGATCAGACAACAACAGCAAAACAAACAGTTCCAGAACTTGCCACAGCAACCGAAAAATCGACTACTACGACATCAATCATCGAAGGATTAATTACGACTGTTAAAGATTTCATTACATCGACATTGCCACCAATGGTGGAAGAACATTCGACAATGAAACCAATTCCAGATATTGAAATGGGACCAACCGAAATGAACAAAACATCTCCTGATGAAAAAGAATTGATCCATTTGACTACTACTACCGAATCGCCTATTGAAAAAGAAACGATGACTACATCAACAGATGAAACAACGACAACAACAACCGAATCAGGATTGCCAACTGTTGAAGAAATTGGTGTCGAAACAACAACGTCAATATTGGAAATTACAACGACAAGAATCCCCACTGCTGCATCAACTTCAAAAGAATCGACAACAGAAAGCGTTACGATAACTGAATCTGAAATGCCAGCAGTCGAAGTTGGTGTGGCCGAAACAACTACAATGTCCGATATTTCCTTGACTGAAGGCTCAACTGCTGTTGTTACAACTGAGAAAGAAATGATCACTGCTACATCATCACCTGTTGTTGAAGTGGAAATGACAACAAAACCTATAATGCCAAATGAAACCGAAATTAGTGTTGAAACTACGACCTCATCGGAAACATTCACTACTGCAATGAAAGAGGCAACAAGTACTATATCACCTGTCGAAGATGAGAGAACTACTGAACGGGAAATGCCTGCAGTCCAAATTGGTGTCGAAACCACTACCACATCATCAACGGAATCACCGTCCACCACAAGTACACCAATTGAAAGTGAAGAAACAACTAAACCAGTTATGACTACTGTTTCCGAAATCGTAACTGAAACAATGACTACATCCAAAGTTTCAAAGGAAGAACAAATTACAAGCACAGTTGCACCTGTTGAATCAGAAAAATCTACTGAACCCGAAATGCCATCTGTTCAAGTTGGTATCGAGACAACCACATCGTCAACATCAGAATCCACATCCACAATTAGTGAAGTAAGTACCGTTGTTCCAGTGGAAATCGAAACAACAACCTTGGAAAGCGAACAAACCATTACTACAAGCAGACCAGAAATGTCGACAGTTAGTAAAATTGGTGTTGAAACAACCTATTCATCGGAAGTTTCAAAAGATGAAACCACAACGGTAGAACCAGAAATCATAACCGAATCATCAACTGAAACTTTCGAATCAAGTACTATTCCAGCAGTTGAAAAAGAAATTTCGACCACCATCAAACCAGGAATACCGGGTGAAGGAATGACCCGAACAACAACAACCATTCCGGAAACGACATCCATTCTGGATGGATTAATTACAACTGCTAAAGAAATGATATCATCAACCATTTCACCATTTATTGAAGAACACTCAACTATACAGCCTGTGGAAGAAGTTTCTGAACCAGTATCTATTATGAATAAAACAGAACCAGCTGAAAAAGAATTAATTCATTCGACGACGACTACAACGACAATAATGCCGATCGAAGGAGAAACAACTACGGAATCTGGATTACCTGCCGTTGAAATGGGCATAGAAACTACAACCACATCAACAGAATGGCCTACAACAGGCATCTCAACCGAAATGGCCATCACAACAATCAAACCTGGTATGCCTAAAGTTGAAGAAATAGGTGCTGAAACGACGACTACAACAACAGCTAAAACTGAAATAACTGATGCGCCAACTAGTACAACGATTTCTGAAGGAGTGAAAATTACTACGGAATCAGAATTTGCAACAGTCCAATCAGGTTTTGAGACTACAACAATCGTATCGACTGAAAAAGAACCAGGAACGAGTACAATGTTGCCTTTGGAAAGTGAAACAACCTCTGAACCAGAAATGACAACAGTTGCTGAAATCGGACCTGCTGAGACAACAACTACAACGATAACCGAAGTATCAACTGGAGACGAAATTCCATCCGTGAAGGTCGGTATCATTTTTTTTTTGACAAAATATTAATTTATTTTCTTTTTCTTCTAGGTCGGTATCGAAACGACCACATTGTCATCAGCAACTGAATCACAAACGACATTGGCATCAACTAAAATGGAGCCAGTAACAAGTACCGTTTCACCAATCGAAGGTGAAATGACAACCAAATCAATAACTGCTACAGTTTCAGAAACAGCAGCCGAAATTGACACGACAACAACAACTCAATCGGAAATGCCAGCAGTAAATGTTGGAATCGAGACAACAACACCATCAGCAGCTGAAACATCAACGATAATTATGTCAACTCAAACTGGAATACCGGCTGTTTCCGAAATCAGTACAGAGACAACTACACTATCAGATGAGAATCTTGATGCTAGTGTGGCCACGGAAAAGAATCAGCCACAAGTACAATATCCTCCGTTGAAACAGAAACAACAACAATCCATTCAGAAATGCCGGCAGTACAGGTTGGAATCGAGACAACCACGCCATCAGCAGTTGATGTATCGACTGAAAAAGAATCAGGAACAAGTACTATCGAAACAACGACAAAACCTGCAACAGTAACTGTTTCGGAAATTGATGTAGAGACAACTACAACAGCCGAAATTTCCATCACCAATGCATCAACACTAGTGGAACAAGTTACAAGCACAATTGCGCCTGTTGAAATTGAAACATCTACTGAACCAGAAATGCCAGGTGTTCAAGTTGGAATCGAGACAACCACATTGTCAGCAACAAAATCACCAACAACTGATGGTTTGTCAACGGAAAAAGAATCGGATATTGAAACAACTACAGCGGAAAGAATTATTAATACTGAATCAACCGATATGGAAGCATCGACAACACCATCGATGGAAGTTACATTTTCAAGTACTGTTTCTCCTGTTGCAGTCGATAAACATACAACCATACCATCGGAAATTACTGAGACCACAGCTACAATTGCTAAAGAAGATTTGATGACAAGTACAATTTCAATGAATGAAACTGAAAAAACCACTATACCTGGTGAAGGAATGACAAGATTTACTACTACGGAAACACCACCAACGAAAACAACAAAATCTGTATTGGATGGAATGATAACGACTGTAAAAGAAATTATAACATCAGCAATGGGACCATTCATTGAGGAACATTCAACCATACAACCAACAATGGAAATCATTGAACCGGAATCCGAAGTTAATAAAACTGAACCAATGGAAAAAGAATTGATACAATCGACAACGATGATGTCAACAACTGAAATGGAAATTATCGATACAACTCCAATGACCACAATTGAAAGCAAAACCACAACTATTCAATATAACATATCGATGGTTGAAGAAATTGGTGCTGAAATAACTACGCAATCAGAAATATCAACGAAAGAAACAGTAACTAGCACTGTTTCACCGATTGAAAGTGAAAGAACAACAGAACCAACGATTCCAGCCATTCAAGTTGGAATCGAAACAACAACACCATCGGAAGTTGCTGTAACTGAATCGACAACTACTAAAGAAACAAAAGAACCATCAATGAGTACAATTTCAACTGAAACGGATGAAACAACTAAACCAACATCACCGATTGTCACAGAAACAACAGAATCTCCTTCAACACGTGTTGATACAACCACTGAAGAACAAGCAACAAGTACAACCATTTTGCCTGTTGAAAGTGAAAGAACAACTACTGAACCAGAAATACCAGCAATTCAAGTAGGCATCGAAACAACCACTTTCACAACTACTAAAGAAACGAAAGAACCATCAATGAGTACAATTTCAACTGAAACGGATGAAACAACTTCAACAACAACAGAATTTGGAAAAGAAGAACAAGAAACAAGCACTATGGTACCGGTTAAAGAGATTGGTATCGAAACAACAACACCTCTTTCGATAATGATCGATACTACGGAAAAATCTATGATCGTAACGACTGAAAAAGAACCAGGAAGTAGCACTTTTACACCCGTTGAAATTGAAACAACTGCTAAACCTGAAATTTCAACTGTTACCGAGATCGTTTCAGAAACAACTACACCATCTGAAACATATGAAAATGTTACAACCACAATTGTACCCGATGAATATGAAACAACAATTAAACCGATGGAAATTGGTATTGAAACAACCACATTATCGTCAGAATGGTCAACAACAATTTCAACGGATAGTGTAATGACAACCAGTACAATCATTCCGGTAGATGGCGAAAGAACGACAGTTGAAGGTGAATCGAAAACAACTGAATCAAAAGTTGGTATCGAAACAACAACAACAACAATGATAACATCTCAATCCGAAGTTTCCACAACGGAAGAATCGACTGAACCAGCTACAAGTACTATTCAGCCCATTGAAAGTGAAATGACTACTTTATATGAGATGCCAGCCGTAAAAGTTGGTATTGAAACTACGACAACAACAACAACTGACATACCATCTACTATCGGTGGATCTACTGAAGGAGAAATGGCAACAAGTACTATTGAGCCTATGGAAACGACAACAAAATCTGTTCAAAGTGAAAGTACAACCGAAACCGTTACAGAGAAAGCTACAACAACATCAATGATTGAAAAAGTGATGACAACGGTTAAAGATTTCATTACAACAACAATGGCTCCATTGATTGAAGAACATTCGACAATTCAACCAATTATTCCAGATGTTGAAATGATTCCAGCTAAAATGAATAAAACACTGCCAACTGAAAAAGAATTGACCATTACTACAATTGTACAGGAACCGCAAACATCAACCACTGCAGATGAATTGGTAACAACATCCAAAGTAACGATACAGCCTGAAATGCCAACTATTGCAGAAATCGATTCTGAAACAACAAGTACTGTTTCACCTGTTGAAAAAGAGACAATAACCACAACATCAGAAATGATGGAAACTAAAACACCAGAATCGTCTACTGCTATTAGTTCAATGACAACAACAACTATGAAAACGCCAGTTATCGATGAAATTGACAAGGAGACAACTACAGCGATTTATGATATTACAAAAGAGCCTACCGTTATAACGACTGAAAAAGAAATCACTATTAGCACAACACCATCAACAGAAATAACCACTAAACCAGTAATGCCAAGTGTTGCTGAAATTGGTGTTGAAACTACAACCACATCTGAAGTTTCAATGACAACTGAAAGACCAGGCACAAGTACCATCTCACAAGTTGAAGCGGAAACAACAGCCAAACCTTCTACTGTTTCAGATATTAGCGCTGAAACAACTACGCCATCTGAAATTCCAGCGGTTGAAGTTGGTGTTGAAACAACAATGACAACAACGAGTACGATTGCTCCTGTTGAAGGCGAAACAACGCCCGAACCTGAAATGACCACTGTTGAAGATATTGGTGTCGAAACAACAACGACAACAACATTGGAAGTTTCTACAACCGAAGGACCATCCATCGAGGCATCAACTTCAATAGAACCAGAAGTTCCTCCTGTTAAAGTTGGTATCGAAACCACCACCACATTACCAACAGAATCATCCGCAACCGAAATATCATCTGAAAAAGAACCGACAGCAACTACTATTTCTCCCGAAATTACAACAACAACAGAACCTGTTGTTTCAGAAATCAGCGCTGAAACAACAACCATAACCGAAGAACCAATCACTAGTACTTTTTCATCTCTTGAAACCGAAGGAACCACTGAATCAAGAATACCGGTTGTTCAGGTGGAAGGTGAAACTACTAGTACCACAGCTTCAACAATAGCCGAAACGTCAACAACTTCAGCTACTTTTGTAACCGAAACAGAATTACCAGAAAGAATCACAATAAGTGATAGACCAATAGGAGCTGGTGATGAATTTGAACATACAACAAGAGAACCAGAAATTCCTCCAGTCAAAGTTGGTATTGAAACCACCACCACACTACCAACAGAATCATCAGGAGTTTCGTCTGAAAAAGAACCGGCAACAAGTACTATTTCTCTCGAAATTACAACAACAACAGAACCTGAAATGCCTACTGTAAAAGAAATCGACTTGGAAACAACCACAGCATCTGAAATTAGCAAAACAACAGAAAGACCAACAACTGACAAAGAAATCATTACCGGCACACAATCCACAATCGAAAGTGAAATGACGACGAAAACTACAACTTCAAGTATTGGTGAAATTGGTGTCGAAACTATAACTCCAACAGAAATTTCTATTATTGAAACGACTGTTGGACCGATTGATTCATCAACTACAACAGAACCAGCTTCAAGTACCAGTTTACCTATTGAAGGTGAGATGACAACCCATCCAGAAATGCCAGCTGTAAAGGTTGGAATCGAGACAACCACGCCATCAGATGAAAGTCTTGCAACTAGTGTGACTACGGAAAAAGAAACAGTTACAAGTACAATATCTCCTGTTGAAATTGAAACAACAACCCATCCAGAAATGCCAGCTGTAAAGGTTGGAATCGAGACAACAACGCCATCAGATGAAAGTCTTGCAACTAGTGTGACTACGGAAAAAGAAACAGTTACAAGTACAATATCTCCTGTTGAAATTGAAACAACAACCCATCCAGAAATTCCAGCTGTAAAGGTTGGAATCGAGACAACCACGCCATCAGACGAAAGTCCTGCAACTAGTGTGGCTACGGAAAAAGAAACAGTTACAAGCACATCTCCTGTTGAAATTGAAACAACAACGCCATCAGAAGTTGAAACACCTATAACTGGCGGTGTATCGACTGAAATAGAACCAGTAACAGGTAACGTTTTTCCAATTGAAAGTAAAATAACCACTAAATCTCTAACGCTTTTGTTTCAGAAATCCCATCATTGGAAGTATCGATCACCCAAGCAATCGACAAATCGACCATTTCAACAGAAATCAGTATGGACACAACAACAACAAGGCTACCAATTGATACTGAATCACCATCCACCAAAAAACCAAAAGAAACTGAAATTCCAATTTCGGAAACTGATCGTGCGACAACCTATTCCCCATTGATTGAAGAATACTCTACCATTCAACCGATAAGAGAATCCAGTGTTTCTGTTTCGGAAATTGATAAAACTACACCATCCCAACATGAATTGATTTCTACAACATCAACATTAGAAACGGTTACCAAAGAATCGACACAAATAACAACTACGATTGAACCTGTTGAAGTGGAAATAACAACTCAACCAGAAATGCCTGCCGTACAAGTCGGTATTGAAACTTCCACCACACTATCGGATATTTCCATAACTGAAACAACCAGTGAAAAAGAATCGATTACAAGCACTGAATCTCCGGTTGAAAGAGAACGTACCACTATGATTCCTGAAAATGCTACAATAACGGAAACTGATGCTGAAACTACTGCCACGCAAGCAACAACAAGCGTGTCGACCGACAAAGAACCAATAACAAGTAGCACTATTTCTCTAGTCGAAATCGATAAAACAAATGAACCAAATGAAACTTTCACTCCAACGACCGAATGGCCAACAACAATTTCCAAAGAAAAAATTGCAACCGTTTTACCGGATAAAGAAACTGAATTGCCCGCAGTTAAAATCGGCATTGAAACAACTACAACAATTCCTTCATTCACATCTACCGAAAAAGAAACAGAAATTAGCACTTTATTACCAGAAATTCCAGCTGTTCAAGTGGAATTTGAAACAACAACAACTACTAAACCATCACCAGAATCACTTGCAACTACACTTGTATCCACTGATAAAGAACAGCCTACAACTATTAGCGAAATTGGTATTGATACTACATCAGTACCGGAAATTTCAAAAACCACCGAAATTCCTTCCACCACTACTCTGTTAACTGATATCAGTAAAATCCAAACAACAACAACAACAAGACCAACAACTTTTGAAACTATTACTGGTGAACCAATTGTCGATTACATAACCACCACTCGTAGACCGCTAACAATGGTCAATGAATCTGCCACTGTCATTTATCCACCAACTAGTCTTGAACCAATTATTGAAGATCATTCTACAATCGTTCCATACCCACCCATTGATGGTGATCATACGATCATAATTGAATTGCCATCTAATAAGACTGATATGGCTCAAATTGAAACAACCACTGCCTTTATGGATCATCATCCTGAATTGTCCACCGTAGTAACTACTGATTCATCATTAATTATTGAAGATCATTCGACAATAAAACCCATTTCACCAACCGAATTTGTTCCAATTGAAATGAATAAAACCGAGCCAAGTGAAAAGGGATTAATTCATTTGACATCGACCTTATCTCCTGAAGATAATGAAACAAAGATTCCAATAGTCGGTGAATCAGCATTAACGACTAAATTACCCGATACATCGCTCATGATCAATGTGACTACACCTCAACCAGAATTAAGTAAATCAACAAAATCAATGATAACGATTGAACCAGATACAAGTGAACCAGAAAGTTCTACTAAACCATTTATTATCAGTAGCGAAGAACCTGAAGAAGAAGTTTGGACTGATACACCAACAGTAATCGTAACCGTACCTACAATCAATGAAAATGTTACGATAATTTCTGAATCGAAACATGAAATTAGTACGACAAAATTACCATTTTATCCGGTTACAACTGGCACACAACAACAACAACAGCAAGAAGAAGAAGAAGAACAAATTGAACAAGAAGAAGAACCGGATGAAACAATAGCACCAAGACCTGTAACACCGAAACCGGGAGTGAAAACAAAATTGAAAAAACCAACACAACAACAACAACGACCAGATGATGGTGTAAAGAAACCATCATATCGGCCATCATCATCATCATTTACACCGTTCACTGATCTTGGTGATGGATGTAAGTGTCATATAATCATAAAACTTTTTAAAAATCTAATCTGAAATTTTTTTTTTCAATTCTAGCTTGTGTATATGATGGAAAAATATTTCAATCAGCCGAACAGATTCCTCGTCCACATCCATGTGATTTTTGTTTCTGTTTCCGTGGTGATATTATTTGTTTACAACAAACATGTCCACCACCGATTAAAAATTGTATGGAAACACATATCGAAGGATTCTGCTGTCCACGTTATGAATGTCGTATGTATTTTGAATTGAATTGAATTGAAATTGAATTAATTTTTTTTTTTTTAAATAATAGCTGTTGATGCAACAACAATGAATATGACAATATTCCATAATAATAATAAACGTATGGCACGTTCATATAATTCTGCCATTTCATCATTATCATACAAATCAACAACATCATCGACGACTACGACAACAACTACTACAACAATACGCCCACCTCCATATTCGATCTCGATTATTGAAAAGAAAGGTTGCCGTGTGAACGGTATTTTCTATGAAATTGGAAAACGTATCGATAAATCAAGTAATGCTTGTCTTGATTGTCGCTGTGATCCAATGGGACTTATGAGATGTGATCCATTGGTATGTGTATCAATATAATTTGTATTAATCCTGTGTTCAATTTAATTTTTTTCCATGTTTGCTTACAGGATTGTTCATCATCTTTTGCACCTTTACTATTGCGAATGAATCGAAATTATTTTCTACATAAGAAATGAATACCAAACAAAACAATTACAAGGCTTCATTTGTGTGCCAAATTTATCGTTTCAAAATTTTGTGATAATTCACTTATTAATTAACACACACACACAGACAGACATGCAGACAAAATATTCAATTTTTTAATCATTTTTTTTATTGGTAATCAAATACATTGACACAACCCTCTTGATATTGATCCTATGGTCCTTTTAATGAAAAAAAAACAAAACAAAATCATTTTGAAAGATAAGTTGTCACATTTTTGTCAAGTGCCTAGCGAATGTCCAAATTTTTTTACTTTTCAAATTTGGTGATGATTTACTTTCCATTCATTTATTGACATTCTTGTATTTTCAGCTTTTTAGTATTTTTAGCCCCAACAAAAACCAAAAAAAAGAAAGAAAAAGAAAAACTTTAATGGATCGGCTATTTATTTATTTATTATCAATGATTTTTTCATATAGAATTTTTTTTTCTTTATTGCTCAAGAATTTTTTTTTACAACAACAAACATCGAAAGATATATTTCAGTTCATCACTTTTTTTTCTCTCACATTTTTCCTAATTGGTTGATTCATATTAATTGGTATATATTTGTTTTGTGTACAAAAAAAAACTGATCAAATTTCATCCACTGGACATCCAAAAAAAAAAAAAAAAAAACTCATTTGCAATGGATATGTATTTTTTTTCTTTACCATTTTTTTTGTATATGTGTGATCATCTATATGAATAAACAGTTTTTTTTTGTTTACGAACTCTAATCTGTTGTGTTCAATTAAAAATAAAAATAAATTCAAAATGATGATGATTAATTTTTACTGCAAACGATCGAATTCAGATATATATATATATAATTAGTTTAAAGTTTAAACTATTATTTTAAAATTGTAATTGTATTTATGAATAGCATTGTTTTTTTGTATGTAAAGTTTTCTTAAGAAAACTTGCACCGATTTCTCGATTTAAACTTTTTATTATTATTTCAATTTCAATCATTCATCTGTGATCACTTAAAATTTCCACGATGGCATTAATTACAGAATTCTGTAATTCGTATGACGATTACAAATCATGTCTTGAATATATGTCTGGTAAATATTCGCTTTTTTTTGATTGTTTTCATGATTGTTTTGTTTTTTTATATATACCCTTTTCTGTTTTTTCAGATCACCAAATTACAACTGTTGAAGATTTTAAGAACCACCTTGTACTCAATGCTTATTCTTTTTTGCGTTTATTCAAATCTATCTCATTGTCCAAATTGGAATCTGATCTGGAAGTTTTCCAAATAGAATATGAAAAGAAAATGTTTATGATCAGTACACAAGATGGAAATCAAATTGTGTACAATTGCGATCATCCATGCTGTTCGGTGTTGAACAATAAATTAAACGAAGTGCTGAATGAATTAAAAATTATAAAATCAAAAAATGAAGAATTAGAATCTTGGATTAAGCAAGAACTGAAAAAAGTGGATAATCCGATGGTAATTCAACAAGCTAGGAATGCCGGTGATTTTCTACTTGAAGAAAAATGGTTGGTCAAATATGAATTTCTTCAAAATGCAGCCAATGATTGTGGCAAAAATGATTTGGCGAATCTTATGGATTCGGTTTTCGGAAAGAAATTTCTACAAAAATACAAATCTTATAAAGATCTTCCATCCGATCTTCGTAATGCAATTGATACTTTAATTGGTTAGTTTTACTTTTGTGCTATGTTTATTCAACTGATAATATCATTTTAGAACGATATGTACGGGCCAAAATTCAAACCATAGGTGGTGAATATGGAAAAATCTTAAGTCATGCAAAACAACGTTTAAATAAACGCTTCGATAACTGGGCGCGATATAATGTAAAGAAAAAAGGTAAATTTTTCCATATTTAATTCAAAAATTTACTTTTTAATCTCAATAATTTCAATTTATAATGGAATTAAAAATGCTCAATTTCGAAAATATGAGTGAGAATAGTGACTATTAGTACAATATGCGTGTGTGTGTGTTGTTTGATAAATGGTATACTTGTTTTGTGAAAAAAAACACAAAACAATCGATTGATTACCAAGTTGTATTGGCTAATCGTCTCATACGACGAGTATTACGATCCTGATCACGAATCTTTTTCTCCATTTCAGCATCGGTTAATGTTTCTAGGAATGGACACCATTGATCAGCATCACCTGGATTTCGAAATGGTAGATCAACGGTTGGTAAGGGATTCTCACTGAATGCATAGGTCCGTTGATACCAGGCTAATTGTCCACGAATACTGTATGCAATGGCTGTTACAAATTCACCACCTAAACCTAATTCGGCACATAATTTCAATGCAAACTCTTCTGGATCGTTTGCCTTTTCTGACATGTCCCATTCAAATTGATCGACTAATGAAATGTTACCAACATGTATATTGAGCTATATTCGATTTGATAAAAACAAAAATTAGAACACAATAAAATAATTAAAATTATTGATGACTATACTTTAAGTACGACACGTTGATCCGGTGGAGCATCTTCCATGAATGTTTCATTTGGGAAAGCATCAATTTGTTGCCGTATGGATTGAGCGATTGCCGGTATGAATGATGATGATGGTAGATCCAGATCATCGCATAATACTTCGGCAAATTGTTCTGGACTTGTAGTTTTTTCTAAATATATGAATAAATAGTGAGCAAAATTTCAATCTATCAATCATGACAGTACCATTTTTATTCCAAGTAAATGTATCTCGAAGTTTATGTCCATCAATTTCCATATCCAAACGAATTGGTATCAATACTTCTTGTTGTAAGGAATTTTCATGTACAAGTGATGAATCCAAATCATCATATAATAATGGAAATGTACGAACACGTTTATGACCGATACGATTACGTGCAATCGATGTTGAACAAGGTACAGCATCCAAATGATGTGAGGTATTTGGTAATGATGGTGCCCAATTTGGTCGTTTTTGTTTCGATTCACGTTGTACCGATGGTTCTGTACTAATTGATACAGCTTTATATTTTTCATCATTACCGGCAAATATTTCATCCACTTCAGTTGCTTTCAATAATGTGATATTCGTTGCTAATGAATGAGCACCAAGACCCAATTGATTGATACGTTTACGTTCATCAACGGTTACTAAACGACGCCATAATGATGGAAATTTTTTATATAATGAACCACGAAACATTCGAAGATAATTTCCAACCTTATCATAACAAAAATAACAATCAAATGAGAATTTATTTTTTGTTTCAACAACAACAAAAAAAAAACATACCTCGGAACCAATATAATAATAATCACCTCCTGCTTCCAATTGGAATGCAGTAGGCTTTTCGCCAAACGTATGCATCTTCATTTGGTAGCAACGATCAAATATTGATTCAATCAATATGACGATAGATTACACAAATTAAATTGGGTTCACAGATTTTTTTTGTTCAGGAAAAAATGACAATTATCAAATGAAAATGAAAAAAAAATGATGCTCGTCAAAAACATTGTGTGTGTGAGAACAAACACACAATTAATTTAATGCATCCATTATTCTCAGTGGTTAGAATTGAGATCCATTCATAGAGTATGTTTCCAAAAAAAAAAAAAAAAAATGATTTAAGGTTTTTTGTTTTGACAATTTTTCTTCTTTATTTGTTAAACTCAACAATTTTTTAGAAATATTCTCACTTCAAAAAATTATCAATCAAAAAAAAATGGTTATTTGAACATCATTATGGAAGATCTAAAAATGACAACATCATCCAGCAGCAAATCAAATGTCGAAGATGTCGTCGAAACGACTACTGAAACAACAAAAGAATCAGAATTATCCAATATTGATTCAGAAACGGAAATTTTTGATCGAATTGCTAGTAAATTGTTGCGATCTGGTTACCTATTGACAGCGTTAGAATTACATGCCGAACTTATTGAACGTGGTAAAGAATCATCACGGTTACGTGATTATTTTGATAATCCACATAATTTCGAGAAACATTTCGATATTTCGCCCACAAATCGTCCATCAACCAGTAATGAAGCGATGACAACGATGTTTCCAAAAAATTTATCAATCGGACGAAGTCCTTCGGAGAATACCTTTGATTCATTGGATTTTACACATTATTCGGATGAAGATCTCGAAAGACATATTGGTGATGAACGGATTGCCGTATTGGAATTTGAATTACGTAAAGCACGCAAAACTATTGATTCATTACGTGCAAGTCTTACAATGACCACAACCGGACAATGTTCTAATGATATGATTGATGGTGGTGGTGGTGGTAATAATAAATTGCTCAATGATTGTGAATCCAAACTACATCAATCACCACCAACAATCAACAATGATAATAATATATTCACTACTGCTACAGCAGAATATGCCAATGAATTTAGTAGAGATTTTTATTATCGTGGTTCAGCCGATGGTGATTCATGTCCAGGTGAAGATGATAAATTTAGTAAAAAATCAACAACAAATTTATCCAACTATGAATCATGTATTGGTGGTGGTGGTGGTGTCGGTGGTAGTTCAATAATCAAACCACATGAAAAACGAGCACTGAATTATCTAATCAATGAATATCTAATGACATATAATTATAAAATAACATCAATAACATTTTGTGATGAAAACACTGATCAAGATTTTGATAATTGGAATGATGTTGGCCTGAATATAACAAGACCACCGGATCTATTACGAATTTATCGACAATTCTGGAATAACATTAATAATCATCGTCAATCATCATCATCATCAGTAGCAACAGCATCATGTTTAATGCGAACAAATTCCAATGCAACCACTATTGTAAGCAATAGTCATAAAACAATAATCAATGATGATGATGATGATGATGATTTTCTTGTCAACAATAACCAATAATCGACGATTCGTTTGTAAATAAAGACCAAAATGATGATGATGATGATTGCTATATATGACAAAAAACAAAATTGTCAATGTCAAAATGAATTTTTTAAAAAAAACCACCGAGACATCTCAGAGAAAATTTTTCGATTTATAAATTTTATAGTATACAAATTTTGTTTTATGTGTTTTGTTTTGATCGATTACACAAAGACATGTGGCAAATAAAACGATTATTATTATTATTATTATATTTTCTGAAAGTGAAAGAATCTGTGGTTTGTTTGAAAATAAATTTGAAATGTTTTTTTTTGTTCTTAGGCCATATAATGATATTCATCACTAGTTTCATATCGATCAATATATTGTTTTTCAATTAATGAATCGATTGCTTTTTTATCATCGGTACATTTGGATTGAAACGTTGTTTAGCCTGGTTAATAACCTCTTCGATCAGGGCATTATGTCGTAATCGTTTACGTGTTTTCATTATACGTACAATTGCAGCCTGTAAAAACATTTTTCTATCCTCTTCAACCGATGCATTCTGTTGTTCGGCTTCTTTTTGCTGTAAAAAAAAATTTTTTAAAAATCAACATTTTTTTTAACAGCGACTTTCTACTTACCTGAATTTCTTTTGGTGGCGGTACATTGATTTTGAATTTCATACGTTTACTTGCAAAATTTTTATTCAATAAAAATCTTGTTGATTTCGGAAACGATTCCGATGTTGATTGTTGTTGTTTGGCCTGTTGAATCGATAAACTCGAAGATGATGATGATGATGTTGATGATGATAGTGGTGATGATGGACTGTTGATGAGTAAAATTTTCAAATCAGTAAACGATTGTAAATGCCTTTGTAATTGTTCATCATTTAGACTGGTACTTTGCTATGTTTTTTTAAAAAGAAAATTGTAAATAAATAAATTTGATTCAACAACAACAACAACAACAAATGTATAATTTACCTGAATCTCTTCATAAGATAATTCATCAACATTTTCAAACAACAAAATGATGGCAATTTGAAATGTATTCATTGTAATTTGATACAATTTTTTTGTATATAAAAATTTCACTTCACCTTGACTTACATTGAATATCCAATTCAATTTACGACCATTAAATTTATTCAAATAAAAATGTTCAAATTCATGGACAGCTTTTTCAAATATTAATGGTATATTAAAATTCGATACCGGTGTCTGTGAGAATGGCCATGCACATGCCTGTAATATATATGCTGAGAATGACATTGGTAATTTTATATTACTATTCTCTAAATGTGTCTGAAATCCAACCATAAAATCATCACAAACTAAATAAAAATGAAATGATTCGAAAAAAAAAAATTTTTTTGGACATTTGAACAAACACGATTACACACTAACCTTTGACATCGGTAAACATTCGTTGTAATTTCGATGTAAATTCATAACCACAAACAGATTTTATTTTCTGTATCATACATTCTTCATTTTCCATTGAAATACATTGTGAATGTATTAAACGTTTGGCCAACATTTTTGAATAACATTTTTGAAATATATCTTTATCACTTATATATTTAAATATAATAATCGCTTCGGTAATTTTGGTTTCCATTTCTTTTTCCGATGAATTTTTTGCAGATTTTTTCAATAAATTATCACAATAACGTGATAGAATTTCTGGCGATCTACATGGTTGTTTAGTATTTTCACGATAATTAATAATCGCTGTACATGCACGATCCAATGCTGACATGAAAATCTTATCACCAGAGAATATGTTTTCAATTAAATGAAGATAATGATAATAAACTTTAAGTATTTCTTCAATAAATGTTTGAATATGATTATCATCTTTTGAATTGATTATGCATTTTATTACTTCCAAGCCTTTCTCTTTGATATGCAACTCAACTTGATCGACCATTATTTTTAGACCAGATTCAATTGATTTCAATAATAGATACATATTACGTAAATCACGGCTCACTTCATTCTTGACCATTAATCGGCATTCATTTTGAAAAAAATCCAAATAATCACCAAGCATACATTTTTCGACAACTTCAATTACACGTTGATGTGATTCATTTGGTATCAATTTATAAAGACGATCTTTCTCTACATTTATAATGTTGAGTACTTTCTCTAGATAATTTGAACAATCATTATTTTGTAACAATAATTTTGCTTCATGACTATAATAGGTACTAGTTGCCATCAAAAATGGTTCCTCGAATAATTCACGATACAATACTGGTTTATTTTTGTTACCAAATCTTTCCATCAATATAAATGAATTAATAACAGATGATATTACATTATGATTCTGTGGTTTACCACAACGGTCACTGTTTATAAAGAGAATATATATTTTTTTACAAAAAAAATCAACAAAAAACAACGATAAATATTCTTACTCATTAATAGCTTGTAATAAAAGTTCAACAAGATTATCTTTCAGTGGCATAATCATTTCCATTTTCCATAAATGTGCACCAAGTTCATTGATTTCCATTAATTTTTCATTCGATCTTGAATCATCACCTAATTCAGTGTTACCATGACGAAATTTACGTACATATTGTGTATTTAGATAAATATATAACAGTGTTAGATATTCAATTGCCTGTTGATAGATTTGCCATTTTTCATAATAAATATGGAGCAAATCATTCATATTCGATGGATTCTCTTGTACCGACTAGTGAATAACAATAAGTATATCAATTTCAAATAAAAAAAAAAAAAACATTACTCTACATACAGCATAGATTAATTTAACATGAGATTCCAATAGTTTTCTTGTTTCATGATACGTTCGATCAGAATATGATTCTACAATATTTGTAAAGAAATCAAAAAGTCAATCAATAAACAGAAATTATTATAGCAACAGATATCAATGTCATACCAGGATGAGCAATACAAAGCTTATAAATATCATGAAAACGATCACCCCATTCATCTTTTGATACATAATTTAGGCATAGAATTTTATTGATTGTTCCACGAATCGTTTGCCATACGGCATTAAAATCAACCGGTTGTGGTCGCAAATTTGATGTTTCAGTTGTCATCGTTGATTAATTAAGAAATAGATATTTCTTTTGAATTGTTTACCCTTTAAAAATTCACCAGGAATAAATGATGGACAAAAAATAATAATGAATAATATTTAATATAGAATAGAAATTCGACACAAAGAAAAACACAAAAAAAAATTCCTCGCTATTGATATTGACAATGAACCATAATAATAATAATAATCATCATCATCATCACAAACATCGACGAATGAATAAGAAAAAAATGACTGAATCATTCAACTTTTGCTGCCATCACACACACACAAAGAGAATGAGAGAGGCTCACACCATCATCATCACCACCAGATGCACACAATGAAACCAATATACACAGAAAAAAAAATTTTCTCGAAATGTTTGTTCGTTTGGTGATCATGTGATCAACGACTAACCGATTGTCATATCGCGATATATCGATAGTCGAATTCGAATTTTGTTTTGTTTTGTTTTTGTATTGTATACCGGTTTTTTAAAACCATTTTTGAATTTTGAAATACTGCACACACATACACACACACACACACACACGCAAAATGAAAACTCATTTGTATATAGACAATAGATTAGTTTATTAATATTTTTTATTTATTATTTATTATTAATTCCGGGAAAAATAATTGGACAAAAAAATGTTACTATGGTAATACCCACAAAGGCGGAGGTAAAGGTAGAAAATTTCGTTTTTGACGGTAATTGAGAAAATTATCGTAATCCGATCGATCATCGGTATAAGTGTTCCAATCAGCACTTCGTGGGCGTAGACCATTTTTAGACATTCTAAATGCTGTATATCCAGGCGACCCAAAAGCATGATCTGTGGCCATCATTACGAATGCAACAATGACGAATAAGAGAATTGTTCGATTCATGGTTGTGTTTGATCGATTGTTGTTGTATATCAGCTTATTGAGACAAATGATGAATATTTGTCTGCAAATTGATTCGGTTTATATATCTACGAAAAGTCATTACTTTCCCTGTTGGATGTCTGGATGAGCTTTGTACATCCTGACATTGTGATAAAGACAATGACAAAAATAAACGATAACCACCGGAGGAAATCGCGATAACCATGCCGACAATTTCGAATCCTTTAACCATTGATAGAAAAAAAACGACCCTCTTTATCTCTTTGTTCAGGACGATTCTGTTTTTTTTTTCGTAAAAATTTGATAAACAATTTTTTTGTTTTAAATTTCAAAAAAAAAAAAAACGATTATTTTGAGTTTCTTTTCGAATGAATGTTCAAAAAAAATGTACTATTCATAGAGGATGTGATAACAAAAATTTTTGTTTTCCCACTCATTTTTGCCGCCTCTTGATATTGATTCCCGAATTTTGAATTGGTTTTATTGAAAATTTCAAATTTTTAAAATTATTTCCATAAAAAAAAGATGTCCATCAAACAACTTTGGTGTGATAAATATCGGCCAGAACGTTTTGATCAATTTCAATTTCATCAAAATGAAGCTATACGTTTAAAGAAATTGATTAGCCAAGAAAATTTTCCACATCTTTTCATCTATGGTCCATGTGGTTCAGGTAAACGAACCATAGTTCGTTCATTATTATTCGAAATATTTGGTTCAACATCACGAAAGCTAAAAATTGAAACAAAAATATTCGAAGCACCAAGTGGAAAAAAAGTCATTCAAACATTTTTATCAAGTAATCTACATTTAGAAGTGAATCCAAGTGAAAATGGTTACTATGATCGTGTGGTCATACAAGAATTGATCAAAAATATGGCAACAAATCTATCGGCAATCAAAAAATATCCATTCAAAATGATTGTTATTGATCAGGCTGATTCATTGACCAAAGAAGCTCAACAAGCATTACGTCGAACAATGGAAAAATATGCTGAAACATGTCGAATTATATTGATGGCCGAACATTCAAGTCGTATTATACCGGCATTAAAATCACGTTGTCTAATGTTTCGATGTTCAGCACCATCGACCGTTGAACTTGGCCAAGTATTACAAACAATTTCTAATGCTGAACAATTTGAATGTAATGAATCATTGATCAATAATGTTATTCATGAATCTGATCAAAATGTTCGTAGAGCAATTATTCTATTACAAACAATTGCCATTCAACAAGAATTGAATTCACAACGTAAAAATAATAATACTGGACAAAAATTGGAACAATTTCGTTGGCAACAAAAATTGAACGATTTGTCGAAAAAATTGACCAGTACACAAAGTGTTAAACAAGTAGCCGAAATACGACAAATATTGTTTGATCTACAAACACATCTGATACCATCGAATATTATATTACGAACATTGGTCTGTAATTTGATGGATTTCTGTCTTGATGATGAAATGAAATCGAATCTTATATCGATTGCAGCAGAAATTGATCATCGTTTGATACAGGGTTCCAAACCAATTATTCATTTGGAATTGTTTTGTGTAAAATTTATGATGATGTTTCGTTGTACGGTTGAAAAGGTTGCTTTTGATCTTGAACAACCAATGGATTTAGATTGATTATTAATGAATTTTTTTTTTAATTAATATTTTTTTCAAATAAAATTCATTTTTTTTCTCATCATCGACAATCACGATATGATTTTACTTGACATGGTTTATCAGCTTGAGTTAGAAATAATCTTCCAGATTTAGAACAAACACATACTTGATATACGATTGGTTTCGGAAATAATAATGATTCATCGAACAAATTATTTTCGGTAGTATTCAATGTTTTATTATCATCCAATGTTGTTGGTGATGTGGTCCATAATTTTCGCAAATAAATGGCACGACTATCCAATGTAATCTGATTATTTTTTTTTCATAGATAACCATTGTGTTAATTTGATGAAATGATAAATTTATTCATTTGAACAAAAAAAAACTTACTCGACCAACATTTGATTGTAATTGTAAATTATCATAGGTGACCAGAGAAATATCACCCAATTTTGATTCTAAATGTATGGATTTTGGTCCACGTAATAATAAACGACTTTGTGGTGAATATAAACGTAGCTCATCATTGATTGTATTGATCACTGATGGTGTTTGTAATGATAGCTGTAGATTAAGATTATTAATGTCTATAATTTATCAATGAAAGAACAAAAAAATTTATGATATTGAAATTGAAATCCAAAATGATTTACCATTTAAAAATTTAATTGCATTCGTTCGAATAGTTATCTGTTGTAGTGACGTTTCGGATTGATTATTAATCAATGATCTAGATGGTCTCGATAGATTCGATGATTCATCCGATGATGAATCCAATGCAAACATTAGTGAATTTTTTCGATCATAAACCTCAAAATGATTAGTAAACAATTGGATTTTATCATTCGAAATAATCAATCGAGTTCCATTGATTTGTGATGAATCATTCGATAATGATCGAAATATTATATCACCATTCTTGGTTGTCATTCGAAATTCATCATTTGGCCATGATTTTAAGTGACGAGCAAATAATAATTTTTCAAATACAGCTGAACCATGTATTCGAATTATTTGATCATTATCCGGTTGATTATTATCGAGTGATCCAAAATCAACTGGACCAATACCATTCTAGGGTGTAAATAGAATCGAATAAATTAACGAAAACAAACAAAAAAAAACATATGAACAAATAATTTTTATTTACCGTAGAGAATCCAAGAACGGAAACGATCCAAAAAGCTAATGCAAAATTAATGCCAACCATAACAATATTGATGACTAATAAAATGTATAGAATTTTTTTACGCCAACCATAAATACCGACTTCTTGTTGCATAAGATATTCAGCATGATAATCATCAACAGATGGATACATCAACATCATTTGTTGATCAACAACAACAGGATGTTCGGTGATTGGTGGACATTCTGAACCACTTTCAGCATAATATTGTTGTTGTTGTTCATCATGTTGATGGTGATGATCATAATTTTCAACATTATGGCCATTATAATCAAAATCATTTTCCGTATCTTGATCTAATTGTGTTTCAAGTACATTTGTAAATCTTCGTCTTCCAGGATTTATTGATTGTCTATTATTATCATTCATTATAATTAATGGATGATAATTTTGAAACATTAAAGATGATGGTCTTGAATGTGAATGGCTACGACTATGACTATGACGACGGTTGCCAATAATCATGACGCTTTGTGATGAACGTTGATCATCAACATCATCATCATCATTATTATTATCGACATTTTCTTTCATCGAATGTATCATGAATAAGCCAGAATCAATATGATTATTTTTGGGTGTGAACTTGTTGATTATTTTATTGGCCTTACTATTAATAAATCAATCAATCAATGAAATGATTATTGTTATTTGGATCAAGATTTGATGGCTAGAGAAAAAAAAATCATTGCATATGAAGAAGAATAAACCGAGCGCATGTTCATATTATCATCATCATCATCGAAGATATGTTATTGTTGGCAAACAACGATTCAATCTACCAAAAAGAAAACATTCGAATTCAACGAACACAGTGAGCGGTAGTTGGCATTCGTGTTTTTTTTTTTTTTTTGCAAACATTTTCCATTCATCCAAGAAAAAAAAACCATCCATTATCCGATAAACGCAAACGCAACAAATCAACTAACCTGATTTTTTATTCTTCTAAAAATATCAACAACAACAACAATCCTTCATTGGTGCTATAAACATGCAAAACTTTTTTTTTTAAATCAAAATCAAAAAAAAAAAAACCAAATCATCATCTGATCATTATTATTTTTTTTATTGATGGAAATTTTTTTTTTCATCTATAAACAAGAAAAAAAAATCAGATAAAATCCACTGATTAAGAACTAATTAAGAAATTATTTTTTTTTTTTTTTTGCAACTGGAATTTGGATTACAATTGAGGAAAAAAAAATTAATTTTGAAAACAAAAATCAATTATCAATAATGATGATGATGATGATGATGATGATCGCTATAAAGAGTCGCATACAAAATTGTTACAAAAAGATTAGAAGATGGCCATTTAATTTGATTCAATTCAATTTAATCCGGTTCAATTTCAATTTTTTTTTTTGGTGAAGCTAAAATGTTTGGAAATGAGTATGCAAAAAAAATTGATACATTGTCAGCAACATCTTCACTACACAGTGTAAATCATCATTGATTTTTTTTTTATTTATTCAAAAAAAATTTCTTCATCATCCATATAATAAATCAAAAATCAAAACAACAACAACAACAACAACAAATCACGATGATCAATCAATCAAGAAAAAAATGGCGAATAAATGAAAAGATAATGACAACAATTATCGATAATATTAATGGTGATGATCCAAAACGGAAACTATTTCTACATCGTACGATGGTATTATTTTTAACATTTCTTATTTATACAACATATCATCTAACCAGAAAACCAATGATCCAATGTTATCAATTATGGAAATATTCATGTTTTTCACCGGTTATTTGGCTGAACGTAGTGATATGAGATATTTTCTTACGGAAATCTTCACTATTTCTACATCGTACGATGGTATTATTTTTAACATTTCTTATTTATACAACATATCATCTAACCAGAAAACCAATGTCCGTAGTAAAATCTAAACTATATATTGGCGCCAATTCAACAGAAAATTGGAAACCATTTGATGGCCAATATGGTAAAACAATGTTATCAATTATGGATGCATTATATTGGGGAAATTATGCCATATTCATGTTTTTCACCGGTTATTTGGCTGAACGTAGTGATATGAGATATTTTCTTACCGGTGCATTAATGCTTTGTGGTTTAATGTGTATTATACTTGGTTCAGCATATTCATTACAAATACATTCGGAAGCATTTTTCATTATGATGGAATCATTAAATGGTATAATGCAAACAACTGGTTGGCCAACTGTTGTTGCAATTGTTGGTGTTTGGTTTGGATCAAAGAAAAAAGGATTGATTTTTGGCATCTGGAATCTTCATACAAGCGTGGGAAATATTCTTGGCCTAGCTATTGCCGGTGCATTTGTTGATTATAATTGGGGTCTATCATTAATTGTACCTGGTTGTATTTCTATTGCCATGGCATTAATAACATTTTTGTTTCTAATACCAAAACCAAGTGATATTGGTATTAATGTTGAAATAGCGTCAACAAAAGAAGATATGAAAAAATTGTCAACACCATCACCACCACTACCACCGCCAACAACAACAATGATGATGAATGGTCAACAAAATGATGATCATCATTTGAAAGTGAATGACAAAGAAAAAGCGATTAGCCTCTGGAAAGCATTACTTATACCCGGTGTTATTGAATTTTCCATATGTTTAGCATTTGCAAAATCTGTTTCGTATATATTTTTGAATTGGTTACCAAAATTTTTAGAAGAAAATGGTAAAAAACTTTTGTTGATGAGAAAAATTTTTTTTTCTAATTTTGATTGTTTTTTTTTCTTTACAGATCACTTGAGTTCATCATCATCGGCATATGAATCAATCATGTTCGATATTGGCGGTATGGTTGGATCAATAATAGCCGGTTTATTAGCTGATAAAACCAATTCAAGTGGATTGATCTGTATCGGTTTCCTCATATTGGCTATACCGAGTTTATTTATTTTTGAAAAATTTTCCTCCATTTCACAAGCAATGAATTTTACATTACAATTTATTGCCGGTTTTTTCATCAATGGTCCATATGCATTGATTACGACGGCTGTTTCTACGAATCTTGCATGTAAAGTGCCATCCAAAAGTGCAATGGCAACTGTTTCCGCCATTATCGATGGTACTGGATCAATAGGAGCTGCTATAGGGCCGGCAATTACCGGTCCAATGGCCGATAGATTTGGATGGAATTCAATTTTTTATCTATCAATGATTGCAGATTTCATAGCCATTTTATGTTTAATTCGTGTTGGCTATCAAGAGATTCGTCATTTTATTTGATATTTTAGGATTTTTTTCTACATGCCCAGGTGGTGGTGGTCAAGATTAATTTACACAAACAACAAGGATTTTTTTTAAGGCCCGAAGACCAAAAAAATTTATTTTTTTTTTGATTGTTTTTGAGAAAATAAATGGGGTTTTTAGGGACACAAAATTTATAGTAAAAAATAAAAACTTTTTTCAATTAAATTTTCTGTTGTTTGGGTGGTGGTTTTGAAAGGATCAAATTATTTGTTGTTTTTTTTTACAATTTTTATAAAACTATCCAGGTAATGATGATGATGACATGAAATAAATACAAATGATTGTAATGTGAATCAGTAATGATGGTAACTTGGACAAAGATTTTCAAATTATGACGATGGTGATGATATTTATATATGCCAGAAGGATAATATTATTTACATCGTGGATTGCGATTTAAAGTAGCCAAAATAAATGTGAAAAATGAAAAAATTTTGTTCGATTTTTTGAAAATTATAAACTACATGGTGATAAAAAACCAATAATCAAAATTTTGAGAAAAAAAATGTGGTCCAAATTGCAAAGAATTCTAGAAAAAAAGAAAAACAAAAACTTTTTTTTAAAAATCTAATCATCTTTTTCTTCATACCGAAATTCATTATAATTATCGGTTTTTTTCCTGTAAAAATTGATAATCGATGTAATAACAATGAAATAGTAGTGTTGAGATGATGATGATGATGACAAAAGGCAAAAGGTTCTGTTTTCTTTTTATCTTTGATGTATATACAAATCGAAAAAAACACAAACAAAGTTTGTAGTTTTTCTCAACTTGTAAAAAGGCAACAAAACATGTCAAAGAGACAGAGAATATTTTTGAAGAAACAAGAAAAAAAACAGATCAAATTGAGGTAAATATTATGATGATGATGATGATGATTAGGGACAAATGTTTCACAATGAATAATTTGACATGAATTGAATGTGAAGAGAAGAGATGTGAGAAAAAATGGCGACAATAATGAATAACACAAAGAAAATTGTATGAAAGACTTGATTGTTGTTGTTGTTGTTGTGGATGTTTTGATTTGATATCCATGACAAAAAAGATATTTAGCCAACAATAAAAAAATGATGATAAAAATGGTAGCACAAATACAAACAAACACAGTAGCAAAGTAGAAGTAAATTTTCAAACAATAATCAAGCCATATAAACTGTTTTCAATCGTTGTAATAATTGTTCAATTTTTGGATGTACACTCATAACAGTTTCCGATTCTAGGCCATTATAATGGCCATTCTTCATTTTTTCAGTTCGACGACATGTTGTTGTTGTTGTTGCGGTATTCGGTGATTGCTGATGTTGTTGTTGTTGCTGTATTGAAAGCTTAGAATTTTGATGATTCGTTGTATTGACAATCAAATCATTCAACATTGTTTCAATTGATGATTCATTGGTTTGAAGCTTTGGCATATTGTTTGTGCTGCTGTTGTTGCAATGACTACCATTATCATTATCATTATTATTGTTGGTAGAGATCACAGTTTGACCAGAAAAATTTTTTCGTTGATTATCAAAATAACCAGCACCACTAATAGATGATGATCGTTTTGTGCCAATTGGTGCCAATGATGGTTTAATCATCTTATTTATTGCCGATTCCATATCATTATCATTATTATTACCATTTGATAGATTAACAGACATTGATGAGAATGGTCGTTGATTATTCAATGAGATCATTTTATTTGATGAGCTTGATGATGATTGATTAGCTAATCCAAAAAGGATGTTCAATTTTTCTGTACATGAACCACCTTTTGATCCAAATAAAATCGATGATGAAGCACTATTATCATTCTTATTAAAGGCATTTTCCATCAAAGCTCGTTCAATATCTTCAAGATGTCCAGCTTGAGGTAATGATTTCTGTTGTTGTTGTTGTCCGTCCATCACCACCACCACCACTACTACCACCATTAGAAATTTGTTGTTGCCATGTTTGTTGTTGTTGTTGTTCATGATTGCGTTGTTCTCTGGTTAATAGATTTCTTTGATCATTTTTATAATTATACATTTCACGAAAGCCAAGTATAGTATTGAGATCAACATCAACAAATGCTGTGGTCGATTGATTTGGCAATGGATCATCACTACTATCATCATCTGCAACCGTAACTAATGTTTTATTATCATTCAAATCTTCAATCGTACTTGTTGGTGAACTGGAATTTGAACCACCATCTCTTTCTCCTATATTGGTAGCCGGAATTGTTGTGGAATTTGTACCGGCAACATTGTCCACCGATTCACTTGCTTTCCGTTGTTGTTGTTTAGCCAATTTCATCTGTTGACGACGTTCACGTTTTCTTGCAAATTTTAATTTTCGTTTTTCATTTTCAACCCATTTACGTATTGCCTGTATGAATGGCATAACCGATACAAATTTACTTGCATTCTGTGGCATCATAACAATATCACCACCATCATTGTCACCATTTATAACAGTCATTATCTGCTGTTGTTGTTGCTGTTGACCTTGCCGATTTTGTGGAAAATCTTTCAATGCAAACCATTTGATAGAACGAATTTCGTTACGTGCTTGTGGTTTAAAATCATAATTCAATTCAACATTACGTATTAGATATAAACGTAAACGTGATTCAAAAATTTTTCTTTCTAAATATTGTTCTTCAAATATATTTCCCATACAATTATATCCAGTTTCTTCAAAAACCTATGGGAGAATTTAAAACAAAATTAACATTTATATAACACCATTAATTAAAAAAAAAAAATAACTCACCTCACGAACAGCACAATTCATTAAAGATTCATCGTGATTAACTTTACCTTTCGGGAAACCCCATGTTCTACTTCCATAACCTTGTACAAGCAATATATAATCCATTGTTTCATCCAACATTATTGCTCCGGAACAAGGTATAGAAAATTTATATTGAATCCATTGGTTAACAACATCATCGAAAACATCCAAAAATTGCCGTAAACGTGGCACATATGTGAACATTATTTGAGCGAAACGTTTAAATCTAAATTTTGGTAATCGTGAATTACATTCACAACAAAAATCCAAATAATGCCAAAATGCATTCTCCATTTGAAAACATATCCTTATTGGATCATATTTTTCTTCTTGTGGCATATTCAATACAAAACGTGATGCTAAATCATCCAATACATCTAATGGTATCTGTAAACTTCGTATAAAATCTTCAGTATGTTCAAATGTTACCGTTTCCTGTATAATATCCGATACTAATGCTGATGGTGGTGTATATTGACTTGATTCAGATTCTGATGATGATAATGATGAAGAAATATTATCAATAACACCATTTTTATTATTACTACCATCAATCGATTCCGTTGTTGTTGTTGTTGTATTTCGTTGTTGTTCATTATTCAATAAAAATGATTTTAAACAATGGCTCATATCATCATGATTGTTTTTGATTGGAATTGCTTGACTTGTCGCTGCGGTTGTTGTTAATCGATTCAAACCATTATGATAATTATTATGAACATCAGTCGTAACCAAATAATTTTCCAATGATTCTAATGTTGTTGCCATTGTTAATGATGATGATGATGATGATGGAAGAATATTTTTACCCAACAATTGTTGTTGATCATTAATCATTGTTCGATTCGGTTGAAATAGTGTAAATAAATCATTCGAAATTGGCGGTGTTGATGATGATGATGATTGGTGTTTATCAAGAATCGATTGTTCATTCGATGGCCATAATGATTTTGTCAATGCATTTGTTTTGTTCATATTTTGTTGTTGCATCAGTGATGTAATTACATTATTATTGGACAACAACATTGAATATGATGATGATGGTGGTGGCGTTTCCTGTCCCATTATATTGCCATTAATAATGTGATTATTATTTACAAATTGATTTGGCTTTGTTGTTGTTGTTGTTGATGATGATGATGATAATTGATACAATGATTTTTGATGCGTAGAAGATGATGATGATGATATGATTGACATCGGTTCGATTATTTTTGTTGTTGATGATGGTAGTGATGTTGTAACAAAATCAAATGGATTATGATTTGTCGTCGTTGTTGTTGTCGTAGTCATCTTTGTCGCTGTCAACATAGGCGACGATGAGGCAGCATTAAATAATCGTTGTAAATTGGAATTTAATTCACTCATGATGAACACTATATGTGTGTATGTTTTTTTAATTATTGAATTTCAATCGATTTTGAAACAAGAAAATAAAAGGAAACAATGTAAATATATATGGAGATTATTATTATAATACAAATGTCAAATATAATCAACAACAACACATTTACAAAACACGTGGTATATGTTGGTTGCGTGTGTTGCGTGAACAATGAAACGAAAAAAAAGAACAAAAAAAAAAGAAGAAATGTCGATAATATTGGAATTTCTTTTTTCTTCTAATCAAACTGATATATATGGGAAATTAAAATTGACAAGAAATAACACCAAAAAAAACAAACAAACAAAATTTTTTTTTTGTCACACTAAATTTACGTCTTTATAACAACGACGACGACGATTACCACGACGGCGACGATAATGATGATGATGTTTAAATCGCTGGTCCATTTATTATTATTTATATTAAATTGTTTTTCGGACAAATATTTGGAAATTTAAACCAAACAAACAAAAAAAAATAATATTTCGATCGAGACAAAAACACAAAAAATTCTTTTTTTTTTCTTTATCGTAAAAATAACACACACACACAACTTCTATAGAAAATAAAAATAAATTGGACTCACGGCAGCAACAAACACAATAACAACAGCAAATAATTCGGATATGTTGTAAGCAAATGGTAGTAGTAGTAGTAGTAGTAGTAGTGGCACAGCAGATTCTACTAGGTCATGAGATTGATTTTTTTTTCTGCCATTCTACGCTATATAGCACACATTTGTATACTATAGTGCAGTGTATAGTCATTTAAATGGATTATAAATAAAACGATTGTAATGATGAACGAATATAACGATAATTTCGTTCATCACTATCGAATTTTATAGAATGCATGGAAAATATGGATTAAAAAATTAAATCTTTTCTTGATGATGATAATAATAATTTGAATCGAAACAGATAATTTTGAATGTGAAAGAAAAACAAAATGTTGCTCCTTCAAACAAGTCATCGTATGTTGCAAAAATCGATCATCAATTCATCGCTGTTATATCGCTTTATAATCTGTTCATCGATACAAAAATCAACAACAAATCGAAATTTTGCCACAAAAAATTATGATAAAACAATCAAATTAAAACCTATCAATGTTGAATATCGTTATGATGATAGTCAATTTTTAAAAGGTCCATCATGGGCTGATGAACCATATATTCGGCCAACGGATGATGAAATTGTCGAATTAACAAGAATGAAAATGGAGAAAGAAATTTCTAATCAAATACATATGGAATGTGATCCAGAATCAAAACCATTTAGTCAAGTATTTGAAGGAAATGAAGACGATGGAATGTTTACTAAAACCGAACGTATAATGGATGAAGATGGATCAATTTGGAAATGGGTTGAAAGATTAATGCCAAAACAAACATTGGGTCCATTACGTGAAGGTAGTGAATTGATAATTCCACCAAAAGAACCATCGAAAGATCAACAATATCATATTGGTCGAACACGTTCACGTTTATATCCAATATATTTGGATTATGTTGTCATTGATCGTGATCATAAACGTTATTGGCAAAATCGTTGGGATCATATGTTCAATAAATATCATACACATATATTGGATCGATTGGATGATATAAAATGGGAGAATAATGAAAAAACTATTGCCATTACAAAAGTAAATCAAATTCAAGGTAATATCTGGCAATTTGAACATGATTGTCGACAATTCATTCGTGAACATTATAATCTTGATCATGTTATGTCTGGTGTAAATGAAGTGTTGGGTTCCGTACAATTCAAAGGTGATTTTGTCGAAGGACTGACAGAATTTTTTCGACAAAAAGGTTTTTGATTAAAATTGATGAAATTTGAGTTTTGTAAAAAAAAAATTTATTCGTCATCATCATCATTAGATTTAAAATAAAAAATAAAAATTTTCAAAATAAATTGATCGATTGTATCGCGATATTTGATCGATGATGATAGCAGTGGTCACGTGACCAACCAATATAATGGCTTTTGTTGTTTTGATTTTAAGTTTTATGAAAATTTTACATTTTTTTTTGTTTATTGAAAATATGAAGACGTGAATATAAATCATCAATCATCAATAATAATTATTGTCAAAATTGTGACTAATTTCCTGATAATAATAATCGTAATGTAGCTTAACGTTGAGCATTATTGAGTTAAAAAAATTTGATTCAATTTCAAATGTTTGCACATGTGGCAACAACAACAACAACAACGATAATCGATGATGATAATGATTGATTCAACAATGTCCACATTTAATGAAGCCATAATTAATAATGATGATGATGGTGGTGGCGTTGTTGAATCAAAATTACAATCATCTTCATTATCGACAACGATGAAAATGGCTGTCACTAATAATCATAATAATAATAATAATCAACAGCAACAAACGATGAATTTGAATGAAAATCCTGGTATATCGAAATTGAATCAATTGGCCGAAAATTGGTTAGAATTGGAATCGGATCCTGGATTATTCACATTGTTGATTCGTGATTTTGGCTGTCTTGGTGTTGAAGTCGAAGAAATATATGATTTACAATCATCATTCGATAATATGGATCATGTTTATGGTTTTATATTTTTATTCAATGTAATTGAAGAACGTCGAAATCGTTGTAGTCGTGGAAATTCAATTATTATGCCATCAATGGCTTCGACAACAACAATACAATCAATTTCACATCTGACGACAACGGCGGCGGCGACGACAACAACAACAACAACAACATCGACAACGATGACAACAACAAAAGTGATGAATGGCCTGAATTATCAATCACCAAGCTGTTTATTGAGCGGTGATTTTATTGATGATCCAAAATTTCAAAGTGAAATGTTTTTTGCACATCAAAAAGTACCAAATTCTTGTGCAACACATGCCATATTGTCGGTATTATTGAACTGTTCACAACAAATAGACATTGGTCCAATACTTAGATATCTTAAAGACTATACAATGGATATGACACCTGAAGATAAAGGTTTAGCCATTTCAAATATTGCCGAATTAGCTAAAGCACATAATTCTCATGCAACACATTTGTATTTGAATAATGAACGTGAACAACATCATAATCATACAACAATGAACACGATACGTATTTCTCAACGTACCAATACCAATTCAACAATGGAAGCATTTCATTTTGTATCATTTGTACCGATTAATGGTCATTTAATTGAATTGGATGGCCTAAAAGAACGTCCAATCGATCATGGTCGAATTGATCCTTTGACTGAATCATGGACGGAAAAATTTCGTCGTCTAGTTAGACAACGTATTGAAACATCGGCCGGATCAGTGGTAGCTGGTGATATACGTTATAATCTAATGGCTGTCATACCGAATAGATATCAATGTCGACAACGATTATTAAACACAATGGAATTTAATCGTTTATCATTATTTAAAACTATTCATCTAATGGAATATCATCGTACTATACAAATGCGTTATGAACATAATTATTATTCCAATTTTGATTATCAAAATTCTATTGATACCGTGAATGGAATACCACCGAATTCAACAACAACGACAACATTTCTACCAGAAAATCCACTAAAAAGCCAAATAAAACTGACTACCGATTCATTGAAATTCATCGTCAATGATGATGATGGTGTTGGTGGTGATGGTGATGGTAGTGGTGGTAGCACAACCACCGATACAGCTTCCGAAGCTAGCTCTTCATACAATACTCATCATAATGATTATGATGATGATAATAATAATAAATCTAAAGAATGTACAAAATTTTTCATCTGTAAATTTGATAAAAATAATGGTCATAATAATCCGATACTTGATAGTGATGATGATGATGATGATGACGATGACGACGATGATGATGATTATTCAACAACAGCAAATCTTGATGATAGTGAAAATTCTGATGATGAAATAACCGAAATAATGCAAGATATTATTAAGAAAATTATCGTTTCAATTGATATGACCACAACCACAGAACAGCCAAAAGAGGAGGATTCTACTAAAAATGAATCAGAATCTGAATATGAAACCATTGATAATGATAATGATGATCAAAAATGGAAAAATTTACGACGAAAAAATTTGAAAAGAAAATTTCGATTAAAAACTAGAAAGAAAAAAAGAAAAAAATCAAAAGATCATCATAAAGAAGAAATTCAATTAATTGATTCAATTATTAAAGAAATTGGTCTCAATTCTAAGCAACCATTATCATCATCATTACCGAATAATAATTTAAAGGCAACTGATGAATTGAATTCAAAACAATCAACAACAATATTACAGGACATTAATCGATTAATGTATACATTAAATCATCAAATATTACGTTGTCAACATGAATGTGTGGAGGAAAAAAATATACTTGAACGTTATGCAATGGATGTTCATCGTCGTACACATGATTATGATGATTTAATACAAACATTTCTATCAATGTTATCTGATCAAGGATTATTGGATAATCTATTTGATCATCATAATAATAATAGTAATGATGTTTGGTCAGATTCAAATCCTGACAATAATCATTCATCATCAATTTCGACAGATTTGGCGCCATCACCATCAACACCAACACCAACGCCACCACTACAACGGTCATCATTACCATTCGAATCTGATTCGATTCGAAATTCAGAAAATCATGCAACAGCAAATCATAATTGTCAAAATAATAATAATGACAATACAATCGATACGTTATCGATAATGGACAATTATCTTGATCATTATAGCCAAAATCAATGCGTTGTTTATGATGATGGCAGTGTTTGTGCACCATATGATGTTGAACTACAACAACAACGACAACAATCACGAACAAATGATACAATTGAACCATTTATTGATATGAATGGCTCAATTGTTGGAAATTCAATAATAATATCATCAATAATCAACGATAATGATGATAATATCGGTGATGATGAAATTGAAAATGATGATGATAATGAAGACGATGATGACGACGATAATAATGATGATGATGATGGCGATGATATTGATGGTGATTCAAATGATGGTGATTATTATGATGATGACGATATTATCGATGATGATGATGATGAATTTCATGAAGATAACAATATCAACATTATTGACAATGATGGTGATGATGATGACAATGTCACTGAAACAATTGTACAACAATATCAATTAATCAATGGAATATTTCCAAATGATTTTTATTATATGGATATGTTGAATAATCATCATGATAATAATAATGATTATAGCTTTGTAGCTATTGTACAGAATGCTTCCAATTGTGGTGATGATAATAATAATAACAATGATGATGATTTAATGGAATTTGAAAATTCATCATCAGTCATTTAAATTTTGTATAAAAAATTGAATTATTTTTTCATTTCATTTCATTTTTCTGTGTGTATCGTGAATCTTTTTTATATTATATTATATTATTAATTAATTAATTAATTAATTGTTTCATTTATTTTTTTTAAATTATTACACTTGAATAAATTTGAATATATTTGAAATAAACAAAAAAAAATTGAGCTTGAATTTCCATTATCATCATCATAATTTCGAATCATGAATAATGTCAACACCATCAACATCATCATCATCATCGTAATCATCACGTGTTTTAGTGGATCCATTCATAAATGTCGTATCATGATGATGATTCAATTTATTTTGTCTACCATCATCATCATCAATAATTTTATTATCCAAATCACGAAATAAAATCTCTGTTAATCTGGAAATTTTTTCCTCTAAATGTACAATTTTAAGCTGATCATTTTCATTCAATTGTTCTAGATTTTCATATCGTATCCTCAATGATTCATTGTTACGTTGTTGTCGATAAAGATCATTGTTTAATTCATCAATTTTTTCATTCAATTCAATAATCTGTTTTTCATATCGATTTCGTTTATCATACCATATTTGTTGAATTTGTTCATTAATCGATATGGACATTTGTTGTTGATTTACATTCACCGATTTCATGTCATCATCATTATTTGGAATCGAAATACATTGATCCATACATTGTTTCAATGAATTTTGTAGAATTAAATTTTCTTTTCGTAATGTTTCAATAATTTTATCCTTTTCCATCGATATGATCGCTAAGTATTCACGAATTATAAAAATTTTTAATTGAAATTTTTTTTCTTGTTTTCCACAGCATCATACCTGATGATTGTTGTTGATATATGGTGGATGATTCGGCCATCGACATCTCTTGTTCCGCCTGCTGCTGTCGTAATCGAACACGATATTGATCACATTTTTGTCGTTCCTGTTTCAATGCTGAATATAATCGTTCGAAAAGCTGTTGACATTCCAACGAAATACGTTGAAAATGTTCTTTATTATTTACAATTTTTTGATATTTCAACCACAATGAATCGATAGTTTGATTATCATTACCATCACTATTCGGAGATGATGTTGCCGCTGTTGTTGCTGTTTGAGTTGTTGTTGTCGTCGTCGTCGTCGTAGTCATAATCATCATGGATTCTGGATCATTGGTAATTATTGAATCATTTTGATTAAATGAATCAATTATTCGTTGCTGTTGTTCAATAATTGATTCTAATCGTATAATTTCAGCTTTTGCTTCCTGTATCAATATTATGGCAGTTTTTAATGATATTTCTTCATCATTAGTGGAAAAATTTTCAGAAATTTTTTCTACTGGTGGTTCCTGAAATTTTACTGAACGATCCGTTTGTGAACGAGAACGTCTAGAAGATTGGGCCATCTTCGATGCCGATGATGATGATTGGTTAAGATTTAATGGACGAAAATAGAAACCTAAACCAGAATCTGTACGTGAACGAACATTTGAATAGGCACTTGTGGCACGAATCGATTTCGCTGGCAATGGTGATGATTTGAGCCGTTGATGATGATCACCAACGATTGTCGTATGATACATTAATTTAAGACGTTCACGAAGTCGTTCATTTTGTTGTTCTTTTTGTCGTAATTGTTGTTCTAATTCAAACATTTGTTCTTCAATCATTATTTCATGTTCAGATTTAACATTTTTCAATAAACGTTTCTTTTCCATCAATAAACGTGATAATCGTGTATTTAATTTTCTTATTTGATCACGTGCATCATTTGTTTCACGTTTTAATTGTTGATGTTGTTCTTGTAGATAATGATAACGATCTTGAAGATCATTACCACGATGACGATGGTAATTTATTTGATTCATTGCTGCTGCTGATGCTGCCGCTGTTGTCGTCATTGTTGTTGTTGTTGATGATTTAGCCAATTCTAATAAACATGGTGTTGATTTATGACGTAACATTCTGTCTTCTTTTCTGTCAATCAAATCAATCGATTGATTATTTGAATTTAGTGCCACTAATTATTATTAATATAAATGGATCAAATGTCAATCATAATAGGGTGGAATAACCTGATACAACACAACAGTGTGTGTGTGTGTTGGTGATGAATTTCGATTTCGATTTGTTTTTTTCAGTTTCCATGGTGATGAAAACGAAAAAAAAACGGATGACACATACTATATTCTGGTGTTAACCATTCAAAATTTACTATGACTATAACAAAGGGCGTCATTTGGGAAATGTGACAACGTGTGTTTCAGCAGGTTTTTTTTTTTTTTTTGTTTTTTTTTTTTTTTTTGGTAAAAAACAAAACAGAAAATTGATTTTTATTATTATCATTGTTATATCAGGAGATCAATCAAGTGAAAATGAACAAAAAAGAGAGAGAGACAGAGAGAAAAAAAAAAAAAATCAAAATAGAGATCAAAATTTAAAAAAATGAAAGTAAAAAATAAATTTTACAATTAAAAAAAAAATCCAATTTTTTTTTCGTTTTCGTTTCTTTCTTGCGTATTGTTGATTGATTGATGACAATTCAAACGGTGAATGAAATTGTTTCAGAAATTGGTTGCATTTCAATTTTCATTTTATCTGGAATTTTGGAAATAAAATCATCATCATCATCATCATTTGGTTGGTATTGGATGATAACCATCATTTGTTGTTGTTGTTGTTGTTGTTATTGTTCGATTATCGAATCGTCTGTTGTCGCCATTGTTTTTATCTTTATTATTATCATCATCATCTTCATCATCATTATTGATTGAAGACATTTTTAGACATTCTTTTGATTCTTGAACATCGGTTAATGTTGTTGATGCTAATGATAAATGGCCACCATTACCATTGGAACCAAAACCATTTGAATGGCCAATACCACCGACAGTAATAACAGTTGAACTAGGTGATAGAAATGATGTTGTCGTTGTATATGATATACAGGAATCACGTAATCGAATATTTTGATTTGTATGTTGAATTTTCTGGCCTAATAAAATATTGATTCCATTATTAGTATCATTATCATTATCATCATCATTATTTTTACGGCTACTGTTATTTGCATGATTATTATTACCTAAAGAAAAAAGTTTAAAAAGATTGGAAAAAAAAATTAGTAATGTAAATCAAACAAGCAGATTAAGTATTTTTTTTTTGTTAATTAATTGGTTAAAAAAAGGAATTTTTACAATCAAAACAAAACAAAACAAAAAAACGTGCACGTAAACTATCATCATCATCATCATCATCATCAGCAGCAGTACCATGTGATAAATTAGTTATTAGTATGAATTAGATGCTTGCTTGGTTAGAAAGGTTTTTTACTGGGTGCTTCTTCTTTATGACTGTGGATGGAATGTGCAGATCAGGAGATGATAAGGCCATTCAAATATTGTTTCATTTTTTAAAAAAAAGCTATCAATCAATTAAATCAATTTGGTTATAATTTGTAATAACAATTCAATAGGTCTATAGTGAGAATTGGTTACCAATCACATACACATATGTTATATTGGAAAACATTCAGAACTTTAACATTTTTTTTTTGATAAAGATTTCACCTGCATGTTACCTGAAACATTTGATGAAGAACAATATAATGATTGTGATTTGAATCGATTATTATTATTATTTGAATATTTTCTATTCTGATTCTGAATATTATTATAATTATTATGGTTATGATGACGATGATGATGATGATGATAATTATGATATGCAGTTGTACGATAATATGTTGTTTTATGTGCTGGATACTCGCCTCCATATTGTAATGTACGACGTAAACGGAAACGTTGAAAATGATTTCGTAATGAATTTCTTACTTCACCATTACAGAAACAATATAGTACAGCAACCGTAAATCCCTATGTGAAAATGTGAAAATGAAAATTTCAAATAAATGAAAAAAAAATCAATTAAATCAATTACCTGTGTTGATACAAGTACGGCTTGTGAATACTGAAATACCCATTTGGCTGTAGGATGTGTCGGTGTAACCAATACTAACATATAACCAACACCTAATAATGGAATGAGTACTAATAATGCTTTTGCCGCTTTACGACGTTGTTTTGATTCAATTGAATTTGATGAACGTAATTTAGTGATCAATACCCACATTATTTTACAAAGAAAAAATATATTCACCTAAATATCGACAGAAAAATAAATTTAGACAAACATTTGATCAAACGAAACTTACAATCAAAACCAATAAAATCGGTACTTTATAGATGTTATCAAATTCATCTTGAGCTTGATATGGACATCTGTTTTTTTGTGCGTGGTGGATGTAGGAAAAAAGAAGAGGAAAAAAACAAACTTTTTAATTAAACAACAAAAACAACGAAATAAAATTCAATTTCAATAATACTTACTGAACCAATTCAGAATCATAATTGGAGAAATAAAATTTTGATAATAACCAACATATAATGATTAATGCCGGCGCACCCCAACCAATAATCAAATAATTGGTTATTTTAACAAATTCAATGGAAAATGTTTTCACTACCAATATATAAAGATAAAGACCTTCGACAAACATCCAGAAAAAATTTGTACCCATTAAATATGTTAACAAAATGACCGTTATACACGATGCTTTTTGTGACGTTGGTGATGGATATGCATGCAAACGATCAGTGGTTATCCAACAGATGGCAATCAATCTAGGAGAAACAAAAAAGAACAAAAAAAAAATTGAAATTTGAAATCAAATTTTTTTCTCTTGTTTATTAAACTTACAAATACGTGGCCATTAGATTTGTATGAATTATATTACGTACACAACGTAAATCTCTGGTGGAAAAAAAATTAAAACAGAAAAATTATCGATTGAATAAGTTCCAAAAAATGTTGGTTATTACTTGAAATAAAGAAATATAAAGAGAGCAATCGAAAGTGCTAATAATGATAGACCATAACCGAAATAATAAATATAGGTTGTATGAAGATTCTGAAAATGAAATAAAGAAAAAAAAACAAATAAAATTTAATCAATAATCAATAACCATCATCATTTACCTCAATCGGTATCTGTATGGCCAAATTTAATGCTTTACATTGATCATAATCAGCACGTTCAGCCCATGTACCATTTGGTAAACACATTCTGGTGGCATTTTCTTTTGAATCATTAAAAAAAACAGAAATTCAAGAAAAAAATCCAGGAAAAAAAACTTCACTTACGACTTGTATCATATTTGATGCCATTAAAATGAGAAAAACATGGTATAATTGCTTCATTGCCGGCTAATGTACGCATCCAACATGATGCACCATCCCATGCTGATGGACAATATGTTCCCAATGATGATGAGGATTGATTTTCATTCAAATCTAAATCAAATTAATGGAGAGAAATCAATAAAACAAAAATGTCATGAATTAAAGTGAAATCCAAATCAATCAATAAATTGATAAACAAAAAGAAAAATGAAGAAATGAATTTCTCTTATTTTTTTTATTGGATCAACGATGACGACAATAAAAGTAATTAGCAATATTTTAATATCTGAATTGAATCGATCATTGTAATTATTTGTCAATGTAATGTTTGGATAAGATGGTGGTATGTTGAGAAATGAAAATTTTCATTCATTTCAATCATCATCATTTGATTTTATTGATTATTCATTGTTGTCGTCAGAAGAAAACTTTACCGAAAAAAAAAATTTTTCTTTTCACAATCTCAATTTGTTCATTTCATTAAGTAAAAAAACAAAAAAAAATGTACAGTAATACCCCGCTAAATAAAAATAAAACTACAGACAACCTCTGATTTTTAGCGTTCTACGTTTCGTTTTATGTTCAAATTTTTTTTTCATTTTCAAACTCAACGACAACACAGGGACAAAAAGAAGTAGTACGGGCAAAGTTGTTGAATTAAAAAATTTATAATTCATCAAAATAAATGATAAATGAATGTTTTGTTTTGTGAAAACAGACAGGCAAAAAGGGAAGACCCTTAAATGCTCATTGTTTTTTTGTTTGTTTGAATAAACATTGTTTGATTTATTCATACTGATGATGATGACTAATTTTTCAATTTCAAAAACATGAAAAAAAAATTCAAAATGAATTTTGTTTAAAATAAAACTATGGCAATCAGATGATGATGTTTTTTGTGAAACACACACACAACGTTATTATTATTGTAAATTAACAACAAAACGTTCACCGGAAATAAACGGGTTAAACACACCACACAAAGAGTGACAATCAGTTAATTACACAATTATTATGTGAATTAATTAATCAGGTTTATTAAATGGGTTTGTTTATCAATCAGTTTTTTTCCGATAATCGAATTAGCTAATCGAATTGGGCGTTAAATGTTAATTTTTTTTTTGTCAAACACTACAGCTTCCTATATCACTCACTATCTCTCTCTCTCTCTCTCTAGCTGATTAAAACATCATTATTCAATGCTTGAATCCATGTAGAATTGAAACTTTTTGATATTGTCGGCGTTGTTTGGCTTTATTATACAAGATTTTTTTTTATTAGCCCAGAATTTGAATCTCTTGGAAACCTGTCGTGTTTGTCGTTTATTTTATTTGATTGAAAATGAAAAAAAACCAATCCTCGCCTCAAAACACACACACACACACAGCAGGAGGTTCTAGAAATGAACCAGAAAAATATATAAAAAAAAGAAGAAAATCCATTTGCAAATTTACATTTTGGATTGACACACACACACACACACACACACAGGAGAATAAAAGAAACAAGAACGAAAAAAAAATTGCAACAAACAAAACAGAAAGAATGACCCAAATTTTTCATTCTCCTAAAAAACAAACCACTGTATTCAAGTTATCTATCTATCGATTATCGAATCTAATAGATGCGATAAATGAATATATTAAAGAAATTACGAAATCATCATCGTAGTAAATTCAATTGAAAAAAAACTATTACCACATTTGATGATGATGAATTCTTGGTCGATAATAAATATGTAAACACAAACCGGATACATTTGTGTGTGTGTGTGTTAATGATTCCATTTTTTTTTCAGGAAACACAAAACACAGGATATGTTGTTTATGGAATGAAATAAAATTGACCATTTACATAATGATCAGGAAAACAGAAAAAAAACAAAAAATGACTTACCTGTAAATTTGATGAAATCATTCAACAATAATTCCGATGATGGTGATGAAGATGATGATGATGATGAGGATGTATTTGTTAATCCTATTGTTTCATTACGTAACCATTCGGCTAAAATGTCATTATTATTCATTGATGTAGCAGATGAGGTTGTGGATGTTGTTGTCATATTTAAATGATATAACAATGATGATAATGATGTTTGATCTAGATCGGTACAATTATTTTCAATTGCCATCTTAAGTGATGTTAACATATGATTTATTAGTTGATTTTCATCTATTAAATTGTTATTGTTATCATTATTGATGGCGATTATGGTTGATGTTGATTCTGTATCGAATGGCTGTTGATCAATAATCGATACAGCCGTGGCTGTTGATGTTGATGATGGTAATAATAAATGTTGAGTGAAATTCTTTCCAATTGTTGTTGTTGTCGCTGTTGTTGTTGTTGTTGAAATAAAATCATATAAAATTGATGATGATGATGTTCGATTATTTGTGGCCATTAGTACATCATCCGGATGATGATGATGATGATTATGGCTTCCATTAGCCATTTGGAAATCCATAATTGACCAAAACTGAATGTTAATGATTATGATGATGATGACAGTCGGTTTATATTATATAACTTGTGTTGATATATATCAATATGATGATTATGGTGATGATGATGACCAATCATATGGATTTCGATCAATTATATTTTGTTTACAAATTATATGATGATGATGATTCTGTTGACAAACAAAACATTGCAAAAAAAAAAATGAAATGAAATGAAAAAAAAAAAAAATGTCATCAAGTCATAAGATAAAATTGATTCAAATTTGAGGAAAAAAAAAATTTTTTGTTTTGTTTTGTTTTGTTTTTCTTGTTTAGGTTTGTTTGCTGATAAGATGATAATACCATCATCATCATCAATAGTAATAAATTATAATCTTATTATTATTACATGACTGTTTTCAAAGCTATTTCTTCTTCTTTCTTCTTCTTTTCACTTTGATCTAAATGCCGGTTTGATGATTTTTTTGGGATTAATTTTCTTAATTTATTTTTAGATATTAATGATGATTCTACATTGTAATCATCATCATCATCATCAATTTAGCACCAAAAAAAAAAAAAAAAATCAACAGACACACAAACGCACTCTGTCACATCAAAAACAAAAAAAAAAAAAACATAAACACACGAAGGCCATATTCTTAGATCATAAACAAAGAGAAAAAATCCGAAATAAATCGGATTTTTTTGTTGAAAAAAAAACACTAAACGACTGGATATATTTATTGTTCAACAAAGAGACACTGAGAAACAATAATGAAAAAAAAAATTGGATCATTCAACACACACACAAAACATAACATGACAACCGGTCAAATAAAATCCATAGTAGACAAAATAAAGTGAAGGTATTTGGGTTTCTTTCTTTCTTTCTTTCAATCTTTTTGTGGTTTACGCACACATCGTCGGTTTATCTTCAACATCATACTGGGTTGTCAAGTCATTCTCTCTCTCTCTTTCTCGTTATCTAAGTGGTGTTTTTTCTTTTGAGTTTGGTCTTTTTCTATATATCCATGCTATCTTGTTGTTGCTGTTTCCGTTTTATTTAGTTGTCAAAAGTAAAATGTTTTTTTTTTGAATATCGTCTGTACAAGTGTTAAATATGATGATTATGTATTAACACTTATAACATATGACATTATTAATAGGATCATATCTTATCATATTCTCCCCCACCCACCCACACACACTACACCACTTTCTGCTTTCGGTGACAACAACAATAATTCAAAAAATGACGATATTAATACATTGCCGGTAAAATTAGCATCATTATTATTTTGATGTTTGCCAAAAAAATATTAAAATGATTATTATATGGATGATTATATTATCATTATATGGTTATATTTGACATGTTTGATTATTAAACAAAAAGGCAATTTCCCGATTGAAAATCTTGAAAAAAAAGTCTCATTCATTCATTCAACAATTCATCATTCATTCATTTTAAATTAATTAAAATATGACTTTCAAACAAATGGTTAAGTAACAAATAATGATTTTGATCATTCATTCAATACATGAATGTTATACACAATGTGTGTGTGTTATGTGTGCATAGAGATCAAAACCAAATGAATCGGTTACTATTTACACATTTCATTTTCTTTTTAATTGATCTGGATGGATGATTTTTTTTTTTGGTGTTTGTGTTTGTGTTTGTTTTTTTTTCTCTGTTCTCTGATATAACAATGCACAAACACAATAATTTTGTATATTTGTCCAATTTATTCATTCATCACAATCAATTATAAAACAAACAAACATTATGGCTATTTTTAGCAAGAAAAAAAAGAAATTATATTCTCAAGATAAGAGAATGTTGTTGCAGCAGAAAAAAAACAATTTTTTTTTTTGATACAGAAACCAAAAACATTGACAATTATTAACATCATCGTCCAGGGTTAATAAAAATGATGATGATGATGATGATGATGCTGAAAACATTTAGAAAAATAGCATGCAACTAAGAATAATCTATCTAAATATGTTTCATAAAATGATCGATGATGATTCGATATCGTTAATCATGATATCGGAAAAAAACGGTAAAAAGAAATTTTTAGAAAAACATCCGTTACATCATTTATGAGAATCGGACATTTTGAATATTCTTTTTTTTTTTTTTTGGTTGCCATCAAATATTCACAACATTTCGATTCGAATAAAAATTTCTTTTTAGATTCGAAGAAAAAAAAAAAACAAAAATTTCAAACACCAAAATGTCAAGAAATGTGGAACATATAAACTAACTGACAAGAAATTTTCATTTCGTTTTTTTTCTTAGTATCAAATTCCATTCAAAAAAAAAAAAAAAAAAAAAATAGGAATTGGTTTATAAAATAAACAAACTGATTGATGATGTGTTATGGAATTTTCTAATTTTCTTCGTGTGATTTCGAATGATTGAAATTGATTGAATAAAAATTCTGTCGTTGTCGTTGTTCATTCATCTTATTGTCAATTCTTAAAATTGATTTCATTTCATTTTTTTCATACACACACACACACACACACACACACACACATACAGAATATCAAATTTCTTGGAAATAAATAATGAAATTCAATTTGATCATCATTTCAAATGAAATTCTCATTTTTTTCACTTTTTCTCCTTAGTGGTTAATTTTTCAATTAAAAAATTTTAATTGAAAATTCATTTCCGGAGTGTATCGAAATGATTTATCATCATCATCATCATCGGTACAAATCGATGAATCAAATTACTATATCTTTGATAATGGAAATAATTGACAGGATAAACAAAATGAAATGAAATCAGAATTCATTATCAAAAGAATAAGACAGGCTGAAATTACGAAATGAAATATGTTTGATAATGACAACAACCACTTACCTGGAAAGGGTGATGAATTCGAAATTTTTTTTTATCGTTTTTTTCAAGTCGGTATCAACCAATATCTCGTAGTTTCAATAGATTTGATTGATTTTAAAGCATTTGTTTTTTCTATAGAACAAAATGGTCACATAAATATGGTTTTTTTTCTTTCTAGGGGAATTCGACGATTATTAATAATAAAAATACGACGACAAACAACAAGAGAGATATATAAATATTCGATTGATGAAATCGAGCTCTATCAAATTGTTAATTTTTCTTCTTGGGAAGCTTTTCCATTGATAACACAGAAAGGAGAGAGAGAGAGAGAGTTTTTGACACATGGTATGATTTTTTGAATATAATAATAATGACGATGATGATAATAATAGAAGCTTAAATCGATCAATCGATGATATTGCAAATAGATTTTCAATTCAAATTATTATCGAGGATGATGATGATGATGATGATGGTGATGATAATGGCAATAATCTTGCATATAAAATGCACGTACAAAAACAATAATAAGAGAGCGAGAGAAAGAGAGGCAAGTAAACGTCAGACCTAATAATCTTGCCTCTCATTATTATTATTTGTTGTTGTTGTGATGAATATAGAAAATTTTCTCAGTTATATTTACTATGATGATTTTTTTTATCATGATTGTTTACGATAATAAATAATCATAAATTAATTTATAATAATAATAATAACGATGGAATGTGATTGTGTAGCCAAAACATCAATGTTGACGTTGGTTGGTTGTTTGATTGATTACATTTTTTTTCCATTGAATCATAATAATACTTGCGACTTAGTATAATAGGATAGGATATTCCGATGTGAATATAGCCAAATGTTTTCATTACATTTTTGATTTTTTTTTGGATTCACTGTTCTATTCGTATATCAGCAGTGTGGCCATAAACAATGTGGTAGAAATAAACATAAAAAAATCAAATTCAACAACAGTAGTTGTTTAAAGATTTTCATAATATTTTTTTTGTTTTGGGTACAAAAATCTTGTTTCAACACAATGATGGTGGTGTTGATTCAATATATTTGTTGCTGCTGCTATTGGGATTTCTTCTTCTTTTTTCTACTTTCTACTTACCGATCGGTAGATAGAGTCATTCAAAAAAAAAACTAAAAGAATCGAATGTTGAAAAAAATGGCCAATAATTGATGGAACTGAAACTGAAACTGAAACAAAAACCCAAAAACAGAAATTAATTTTAACATGAATTCTTGTTGTTCCAACTTACCCGGACTTAATTTGATTCGTTATATATATTTTTTTTCAGACGTTGAATTTGTATGAAATTCTTCAATGTTTTGTGCATGTGCTGATTCGAAGACAAACAAAAAAAACACTACTGTTAAACAACGGACGGAAAATATATTTCTGATGTTTCGGGCAGATGTTTCAGAAGTTTTATTTTTTTATTCTGTGCTGTCTGTTGCATAAAACTTGAATGAATGAATCTACAGGCCATACACAAACGCAGACAATGGATGAATGAATTCGATATAAAAAAAAATCATTCCATTTTGATTTGATTCGAATTTCGATCCAAATCAAATCAATATATAGAGAAACCAGGCCCGTATTCGATCCATCTTTGTCTTTTGCCAGTCGTGAGAATGTTATTGATGAAATGAGAATTAAACAATACTGATTGATAGATCGATTGATTAATTTTGATCGAGTTGGATTGTTTTTTTTTGTTTTCGTTTTTTTGTTTAGGTAAAGAATCGAATTGAATATATGTTGTAAAAAATGTACAAAAAAAATGTGCATTTGACATTTATCGACAATGATTCATGTGATTTATTATTATCACTGTGAATAAAAATCATCATTGCCCAACATACGAACATTAAGTTTTCCATAAAAAAACCATTGATCAATACAAAGAGAATATTCCATTTCGGAATTATTCCAAAGCAAAAAAGAAAAATGAACATACCAGGAGAATATGGTTCAATAATATATCTGTTGCATGGTTTTTTGAATGAATTTGATAATTTTTTTTGAATGATACAGCATATATTATCGATTGATTAATGATGATGATGATGGAACTGATGATTATCATTTGAAATATTAATAATAATAAAAAAATGAGGAAATTTTTGGATGAAAAGAAAAATTAATTAAAAAATTGTACAACACTCACCATATGATGATGATGATGATGATGATGATGATGCAGGCAATGGTCAAAAATAAAAATAAAATAATCATCTTCCGGATGGATTTTTTGGATTTTTCTCTTTTTCATGAATGAAGAAAAAATTAATATATGACCATTTCCTATTAAGAATGACCAGGCGAAAAAAAATGATGATGAAAATAAATACCGTTAGCACATATATAAATATATATGGTGTTTGGAATTCGATTCATCATCATCAACATTGGATTATGATGAAGATGAAAATATCCATTATCTTGATAATGATGATGATAATGTTCATTTTATCATCAATACTAACACTAACGGTTTGATAGAATAAAATTTTTTCATTAATTTTTCTTAAAAAAATAAATTTTAAATACCTGGTTTTTTTTCTCTCGTCTCTTTTTTGAATTAGAATGGAAATTCTATTGTCCATTTTCTTGGCGGTATTGGAAATCTTCACAAACTTTATCGCCAGAATAATAATAACCATACGGGGGCTATTTATACATTAAAAGATCTGTATCGTTTTCATGTAAAATTTCATCAATTTATGGCCGATGGATTATCGTCATCATCGACGACGACAACATCGAAACCAGTGGTAAAAAATCCAGAAGATATGACAAAATTTTGGTTAAATTTTCAGAATTTTATATTCTATCCAAATCATCATCATCATCATCATCATCATGATCATCATGATAATGATTTGATACCTGATGATTCATGGTGGTGGTGGTGGTGGCCATCCAATTGGGAAAATAATACAATAAATTGTGAAGATCAAAAATCGAGCATAATCACAACAACGACTTCGACGACGACAACGACGACCAAGAAACCATTTTTAATACCAAATTATTATTTTTATGATAACGATAATGAAAATGAAACATTCGACCAGATCAATGAAAAATCGAACGGATAATAACGGACTACATTGTTTATGAACGGTGTATTTATTTTCATTTTTTTTCGAACATAACTCAAAAATTAAAAAAATAAAAAAATTTTGTTTTTTCAAATCAAACAAATCGTGATTATATATTATGAAATTGAAAAAAATCCTAAAGGTTTGATTTTGGATTTGGAAATTCATGTCAATTTGTAGTTAAAAGTTTTTTTTGATTCTCTATAGAAAGCATTCCTACCGAATGGTTATCCACGATCGGTTAGCAATGATTATCTGGAATATCAATTCTGGGATAGTGTCCAGGCATTCTGTTCAAGTATAATGAATAATCTGGCCACACAAGCCATATTCAAAGGTGTTGGTGTTGGTGATGCATCAGCCACTGTTTTGGCTGCAACAATAACCTGGATTCTTAAAGGTTTGTTTTCAGAAGAAAAAAAATTTTTTTTATTTTTATTTCAATTGAAATTCAAATTTTTAGATGGTACATCAATCATTGGATCATTACTATTCGCTACTATACAATGTACACGAATGGATTCCGATTGTAAACGTTGGCGTTTATTTGCCGATCTAATCAATGATATGGCCATTCTGATTGATTTGCTTAGTCCAATATTTATCGGTTTTTATTTCACCACAATTCAATGTTGTTCAGGAATATTACGATCATTGGTTGGAATTGCTGGCGGTGCAACACGTGCAGCTTTAACACAACATGTAAGTTTTGAAAAAAAAATTTCAAAACAAAAATCACCAATCACCTGATTTTTTTTTTTTTGTTTGTAGCAAGCTAAATGTAATAATATGGCTGATGTTTCAGCTAAAGATCAAAGCCAAGAAAGAATTGTCAATCTATTTGCATTGATTTTTTCATTGATATTCATGCCATTCGTCTCTGATCAACCAGTGTATGTGTTTGTGATTTTTGAATTTAAAATAATCGATAATCGCAATTTTTCTTTGTATTTATTATTAGATTAATATGGACAATGTTTACAGTATTTACAACTGGACATATTTATTCAAATTATTGTGCTGTACGTTCTGTATGTATTGAAGTGTTTAACAAAAAACGTTTGGCCATATTTTTGGAAAATTTTCATTTCAAATCTTCTTCCATAAAAAACAATCTTTCTATCGATTCTATAAATCACGAAGAAAATGTTTGGTTTTTTCTTCAAACAAAACATGATCAAATATTTGAAAATGTTCATTTCATTTCTGGAAAACTACCATCATCAACAGATGAAATGCAATCAATGATCAAAGATCCTATTAATGATCAATTCATAATCAATTATCAATCGAATCATGACAATTATTATATCCATACGAAATCTTTTGCCACCGAAATTATAATCGAATCTTTATGTTTGTTATTTATACTACAAAATTTGGATCATTTCAATAACGATAATGTGTTTGAAATACATCAGAAAAATATGCCAAAAATATGGCGAAAAATCACCGAAAATGATTGGAATATTTCACATGTTTTAATGGCTGAAACATTTATCGATGATGATGATGATTGTGATCATGAAAAATCTTATTGAAAATTTTTTATTGAAATTTTATCATTCAAAAATTGTTGTTTTTCAAACTGTTGAATATTTACATCTTTTATTAAGAAAAAAAAATTTTTTTCATTCAACCAACACTGATGATTTAGACGAATCTTTTGTTTTATTCGATGATTTATCCGAACCATCATCCGATACAGTGGCAACATTCGATTTTTCCGAAGCAGATGATGAACCAACACCACCACCACCATCAGCAGCATTACGTATCAATGGACCTAGATTATGTTGTTGAATATATTCATTGATGGCCGTTCCTTTTGTTTTGACATTTTCGCGATAAGTGCCAATGGTTTTTTTAAGCTTTTCAAAGAAAAAATTTTATTTTATTTTTTTTGTTTGTTTGTTTCAAATGAACTCACATACCATATCGAAATTTTTCTCCAAATCCGGTAAAACATTATCAACAGTCTGTTGTACAAGTATACCGCCAATTAATCGAAAACAGGTACGATCTTTATTCACTTCTTTCAATGCATCAATTACAAGTCTGATGTGGTGAAAAAAAATTAATATTAATTTTTTGATATGAATTTCATTTTCATTACCGATGTTCAGTGGCTTCGGATTCAAGTTCGGAAACTTTTTGCGACAATGAACGTTGTTCGGCACGCATCTTGTTCAGATTATCCACAATTGTTTGCATACGACGTTGATTATTCAACATTGCGGCCGAATTATTATTTGGATTAGCTGTCGATGTTTCCATGATTGTGATAATTTTAATTAAGTTTTTTTTAAAAAATTTACTAAAATTCCAGAACGACAATAAAAAAAACACATGTCAAACCATACCACACACACACATATAAACTTTGTTTATGAATGAATGCAAAAATATATTCAATTTTGGTGTTTATGGGTGGTTCCAAATTTGTTCACGTGATAATAAAAAAATACAATATAAATAGTGGCAAACCCATTTAAATGTTGACGCCCTTTCTGAAAAAAAAATTACTCCAAAGTTTACCATTAATTTAAAAAAAAAAATTTATTATCATTCCATTTGGATCATATTTCATTTGATTTGATCATGATTATCATTACAAACGAGAAAATACTCCACCACCAGCAACAAAACTTTCACCCGTAATATACGATGCTTCTTCTGATGCCAAAAACGTCACGACATTGGCCATTTCTTCTGGTTTACCCATTCTTAAAAAAAAATCATTTGAAAGTTGAAAAAAAAATTCAAATCCCAATCAAAATTTATAATTACCGTTTTATCATAACCATTTTATGAAATTCATCTTCAAAATCTGGATTCTGCCATAAAGCTTCACTGAATTTTGTTTTTATCAGACCAGGACAAACACAATTAACACGAATATTTCGACTGGCACCTATTATTAATTTTTCAATGATGAAAAATTTCAAATCACAATCAAAACATACAATCAGCAGCTACGATTCGAGAAAGACCAATAAGTGCCGTTTTTGATAATGAATATGTGGCCAATAAAGGCATCATTTGATATCCAGCGAATGAGCTAATATAAACAATTGCTTTATCACCTGGACGGGTTTCCATATGCGGTACTAATGCTTTGGTCAACAAGAATGGTGCTTTAACATTGACATCCATAATCTATTTGTTTAAAAAATTATTACTATGATGATTTCAAGGCTTTAAATTATTCTTACTTTATCATAGACACTTTCGTCACTCTGCAAAAAAAATAGTTTTCAATTCAAATATTCTAATTCTCAAAAGCAAAACTTACATCAAGTATGGGACCGATGGCCGGATTGACAGCTGCATTGGAAACAAAAATATCCAAACCTTTATATTTATCAACAACCTATCGAAAGTTGAAAAATGGTTTTTTCTGAAAAAAAATCTCAAAACTTGTACTATACACATACAAACTGTGTTAATTTATCACGGTCATCAGCTTTACCAACATGGCAAGCTAAACCGGTAGCTGATTTAAATCCTTCATCATGCAATTGTTTAACGGCACGATCAACATTCGTTTGTTTACGGCTACTAACGATGACTGTTGCACCACTTTGTGCAAGACGTTGTGCAATTGAAAATCCGATTCTAAATCAAAAAGAAAAAACTTAATTAAAATCAAGCAAATGAAGTGCATCACTTTACTTCTCACCCTTCGGTTGATGCGGTGACCAATGCAATTTTTGATTCAAGATTATATTGAGCTTTTCCCGGTTCTATTGATGAAAGAAAACGACGAGAATAATTTATAGACGATTCGTTAGATAAAATCGAATTGAATCGATTCATATGATTGATTGTTCTTCTTAAAAGAAACATTGTTTTTTTTTGTTACTTCGTTACAAAATTGATGAAATACAATTAAAAGCAATCAAATCTATAACTGATTTGAACCCAAAATTTGTTTCAATGTGTTTGTACCCTGTGTTTATGTGTTTGAACATCAAAATAAGTCCTATTCGATTAAAAAAACATTTGCCACTGATAGATGACGTCATTATCAAAAACATTGCCATCTACCGAATAATTGTCATATTAATAATGAATGTATATTTTCAAGAAAATTTTCAAAAAAAAAAAAAAATTTTTTTGAAATTAAAATTGTTTCAAAAGATTTGAAAAAAGTTGTAAAAAATCATGAGATAAATTTTTCGAACAAATCTCTAGATATTTTTGCCGTACAGATTGTGCTAATGGTTGCAACAAATATTGTTGTTTTTCGACTTTCATTCTACAAAATTCATCCGGTAATGGTAAAACAATGCCATCAAGTTGTATGAATGATGACAATTCTTGATTTAATGGCTGCTGCTGTGCTATTTGTTGTTGTTGTTGTTCATCATCATTTTGTTGTTGACAAGTTAAATCAATCACTTCAGTTGTGAACAATAATTGCTTAATATATGGCCGCTGTTGATGATCAACATTCATCATCGATTGTTGTTGTTGTTGTTGTTGTTCACGTTGATGGTGATTATTTCGATCATTAAAAATTGCCATCAATTGTATACGTTCAAGACGTTCATCCAACATTTCTATTAAACGATCTACTTGTTCAATATTGAAATAAACATCTTCAATTAAATGTTTACGATATCCATGATCATTATTATTATTACTGTGATTATCATCATCATCATTTAAATTACGAAAAACATTTTGTATTTTTTCATCAAATGTTTGATCATCAAATGATGATTGTTGTTGTTGCTGTTGTTGGTGTTGATTTTTTCCATCAACAATCATTCGATGATGATTACAATCTTCATTCACATCATTTGAATGTTTTTCTTGCAGATAATAATCATCCAGAATTTCCAAATATTCAATCAATGTATATAAATATAATGGTTCCAATATTGATAATTTTTCATGATGATTTTTACGAAAAAATATTTTCGGTTCCGGTACATGAACAATGTTTTCAACAACAACAACAACATTATCATCGCTAGACATTTTCGTCTTGTTCATAAACACTATATATATCAAACAACAACAACAACAACAAAAAGATTCGAAAAAATCACAAATTCCAATTCGAACATTTCATTCGGAATTTTTATATTGCAAAAAAAAAAAAATTCTTAAAATTCCAAATTCTACTGTTATTCAATTGTTTCTTCTTTAATTATTAATGATTAATAAATGTTTATAGTAAAAAAAAACTTGTGGAAATCGAGAAATGAGAAAAAAAAATTCTGAAAAATTTTGATAAAACATACACACACACACACACAAGATTGATGAATACATTTAATGGTCTTTGGAAATAGAGAAAGAAAAAAAATTGATGATGATAATAAGTAGAATTATTAGTGAAATAATGAATGATGAATAAATTGATTGATTGATTGATCGTGGATATAGCCCAGATGATAATTTTCTTTTGGTTGTTGTTGTTATTGTTGTTTATATAATAATATTCATTGAATGATCGATTTGTATTTGTTGTTTGTTTGTTTAAAATAAATAATAAAATGCTGTGTTGTTTCTATATATAATCGATCATTGATTGATTTGGCTAAATCAAAAAAAAAAATATACAAATTGAATGTGGGAGTAGTAGGGTGGTGGGTAAACGTTTTTTTTCTCCCAAAATACTTGAATTAGAAAAAAAATGTTTCCGTACCGTTTTGTTTTTGACTATCTACAAATGTGAAAAATAGACGAAAAAAAGACGACAAGAATGATTCGAAATGGATTGATGGTTTTTTGTGCACATTTGATTTTGATGTTTGTTTAACATTCACTTTCATCATCCCAAGGATCACTTTCATTTTCATCATCATCACCACCATCGACACCATCTGAATCGGATAATTCTAATGCAACACGACGTGCTAATATCGATGCTACATCATGTAATGGACCATTTTGTTCTACTTCTCTTTTCTTTTCTTCAGCTACACGTTTCAATTTTATACCATGTCTTATGGCAGCCAATAAATTCGATCGTATATCATCATTTGCATTCGATTGTGGCAATGAGTTTGGATCAATCTTTTTAAGGACCACAGATTTTAATTCTTCTGCCGTTGGTTTATTTGCTATTTGTGTTTGCTGTTGTTGTTGTTGTTTATATGATAACTGTTGATTATTCATCGGAATAGTACCATTTCCATTCATTGGTGGTGGTGGTGGTGGCGGTGGTGAGGTAAAATCGTCTATGAAAATAACAACAACAAAAAAATTAGACACTTATTTTTCAAATTATAAATATACTAACTATTAGGATTCGTATTATTATTATTGTTGTTGAACGAAGTTGTGGTCATTGTTCCTGTTGGGGGTGGTGGTGGAGGAGGTGGCGGAGGCAATGATGCATCAATCATTTCATTTGCCGTTCCATTTGACATTTGAGCATTTTGTGAAGAAATTGGCGGCGGTGGTGGTGGTGGTGGAAGTGAATCTCTTGAAACCATTCGATTATTATTATTCAATGAATCTTGACGCATTTCTACTTCCTGTCCATTGATCATCATCATTGTTGTTTTTCTTGGTGTTCCTGGTTGTGAATTTGTACCGGAACTAGTACCACTACCACCCGGTGGTGCTGGTGGTGGAGCTGAAGGCCTTGATACTTGAGCACCAGATAAACGTCTTGTTGGTGTTGTATTATTATTGTTCATTGTAGCACTTGGCGAATGTTGTTGAGGTGGTGTTTGTTGTTGTTGTCCCGTTGTTGTTTGATATGGCATTGTCGTCGTTCCATATTGTTGCTGCTGTTGTTGTGTCGGAACCATTCTTGTTTGACCAGATGATAAATTATAACCGGATTGTTGTTGTTGGTTATTATTCGGATAATAATAATTCTGTTGTTGTTGTTGATGTTGTAATTCCAAAGAATTAGGTCTAGCAGATTGTTGTTGTTGTTGTTGAAAAGGTATGGACGTAGGTTTATTATTATTATTATTTGATGTTGTACATAATGATGTTGATAATTATTTGGATCAATATATGATCCTTCAATCACAGTATATCCAGTTCCAGATCCAGGCATCATTTGTTTTGCTGTTAAAATTTCCATTTGTTGTTGTTGTTGTTGTTGCTGCTGTTGGGCATAATAACCAGGATGATAATGAGAAGTTGGCTGTTGTTGTGATGATGGTGGATAATATTGTTGTTGTTGTCCATTATTATTATTATTATTTGATTGTGATGATGGCGGTGGTGGTAATGATTGTTGCTGTTGTCCATATGAATTTGAATCCGTTGATGATTGATAATGTAATTGTTTATTTGATGCTGTTTGTTGACGATTTCGTTTCGTTGATGATGAAGATTTGGCTGAACCATGTATATCACCTTGTTGTTGTTTATTTTTGGTGATTTTTGTTGATCTTGAATGTTTCGATGAATGTGGTTCCTGTAACATTTCTTTACGCCATAATTCGAAAAAATAATTTGGATTCGTATAAAGCGTTAAACCATTGATATTATCATCACGGAATGGATTCAATTTATCCAATGTTGGCGGTGGATCACAACGTTGATATACTTCACGTAATGAATCCGGTATTGTTGTACGTGCAACAACTTGTTGATCAAATTGTTCACCACCGTTGGTAGAAATGTTGGCCGATCCACCACTACCACGATGTATTATTGGTTTTCTCATCGTCGTTGTCATCATCATCATCATTGTTTGTTGATGATGGCGATAATAAGATGGATCATTATAATGAGAATTATCTTGTGTAGATGAATCTAAATGTTCAACATGTTGTGATAATTGTTCAATACGTGTTTGTAATTGTGCTGAACGTTGTAACATTGATTGTAGATCATCCAATAAACAGCCAAATAAATTTTCAGCATGTTTTGATAATGATGATAATTGTCTAATAATATTACCAAGTGTACCATTTGTAACACATTCTAATTCATTTGGTATATTTGGTAAATTAGTTGTTTGCTGTTGTTGTTGTTGTCCAGTATTATTATTATTATTATTACCGGCCGTTTGAAAACAACCACGTGATACATAAATTGGTTGTATAACACGTTGTTCTAATGGCATTTTCTTTTGTTTTTTTTGGTTTTTGTAGATTTAAAAATTGTGGGTGAACGAAAAAAAAAATTTCCACAGATTGGCACAATAAAATCCAGATGAAAAACTAGACAAATGTTTCAAATGTTAGAAATTGGGCTGTATGAATGCGAGAAAAAAAAACAGAACAGAAAAAATTAGTAAAACAGAAAAAAAAATTCATTTTTTTTTTTAAATCGGATATAAATCAGTAGTCATCAACAAATTATATTATCATTATCCCTGTAACTAGAAAAAAAAATGTGACGTCTTTCATTTTTTTTGTTATATGGCGTTTCTATAGTTTCGATTATTTTGTGTGTGTGTGTGTGTCATCACATCATCAATATGTATATATCCACCACCAACGCCAATATGCAATTCATTGATATTTGAAAATGAAAAAACAGGCAGACACACAAATATACATACATTGATGATGATATTATTATAGATATTTAAACATTACAACAGGACAAGCCCAGTTATAAAAACTAAAATTTTTTTTTCTGGCGAAAAAAAACGAACGGAAATCCAACTTATATACACACACACACCAAACGATAATATCATTTCAAATGTCGATGATGACTAAATCACAGAAAAAATTCAAAGGAAATTCAAAGGAAATTCGATGAATCTTACCTAAAAAAAATTGAAAATTTATAAATTTTTAGATTCTAGTGATGAAATGAAATAATCTTTTGTTGTTGCAATCATCATCATCATCACATATATTTTAATAAATGAATCGTAACAAAAAAAAACTGGATCAAAATTCAAATGTTGTAGTTTTGTTGTTTTATATGGATGTCACATACATCAAACAATAAATGATCGTCGTTGTTGTACATTATCACTAATGATAATAATCATCAATACAGTTAATCATCATTGACATAGTAGTGATGATGATGATTTGAACGAAATAAAATGTGTTGAGCTTACAATCAATGATGATGATGGTGGAAGACGTTTTAAATGTGATTTTTGTTGTTGTTGTTGTTTTTCTGTAGAAATTCTATAGAATCATGAAATGACGGAAAACGTAAAAAAAATCCAAATTATTAAGTGAAAAAAATTTGTGTACAACTCGACATACCCATTTAGTTGATTTATTTGATTATTATTATTATTATTAATTGCAACAAACATGGATGATGCTACTATGGTGAAATCAATGATGATAATCTATCTAGCCATCTCTAATATTATTGTTTTATCTCTCGCTCATTGTCGAGTGTGGCAAGTTGTTAAAGAAAACAAAAAAAAAAAAGATTATAATCGATCACAACATCAAAAACAACAATTTTTTCTATGTAAAATTGTCAATGATTTATAAATTGACATGATGATGATAATTTATCATTAAAAGAAAAATGGATAAAATCAATGGATAAACACAAAAATTTTTTTTTTTTTTTTTTTTTTTGGCCACACAAACACAGACACAGAAGGAGCGAATATCTTTTGGAGCAAATGGGCAGAAAGCGAGAGAGAGAGAGAGAGAGAGATAGTTTGATAGTTTGATGTGTGTGTGTGTGTCTGTCCATCCTAAAATGATCATCAATCTCTATCTACTATTATTACTACTACTACTACTACTACTACTACTATGATAGAATTACTTGTCGTTTGTTCCAAATTTGGTAGTAGTATACAGGAAATCATATTCCATGATGAATTATCTCTTCTTTCATACATACAAATATATATCCAATACATAGTGGACAAGAATAATGTTAGAAATCAGAAAAAAAAATTTATTATTGTAGTAGTAGTAGTAGTAGTAGTAAATGATTAGTGTGTGAACTATATAATTTTCACATTCAACAATACTACTACCATATATTTCGTAGGAATTTTGATGATTGACCACTAGATGACAGAACATTCGCCATAATCACCATCGATTGAATCGAATGTTTGAAACTTTTTTTTTTTTTTTATTTGCAATTTCATGTGATTTCTTTTGTTCTCGATCACCGAAGAACATTTTTGAACATTTCAACTGATACAAAATGAATGAACAACAAATATTACCGTAGAATTTCATAGACGAAACAAAAAAAACTTGTGTTCTTGTTTAAATTCAAAAATATTCCTTATTCAAGATTTTTTTTTCTTTGTTTGACGAAATAAAACAAAAAAAATTCTTAACGAGGTCAACGGAAACGATTTGTTGTTGTTATCATGGCTTCAACACCAACCACCAACATCCACCACCACCGACAACAACAACAACAACAACAGATCATGGCATTTTGATCGTCATCATTATCATCATCATCACCATCATCATCATCATCAATAACAAGTATTCACGCCTACACACAGCATTTTATATTTATTTTTGTCTTTGTAGTATTTATAATTCAACAAAAAAAGAAAAAGAAAATACTACATCCACTCTTTAAACGTTGCAAATGGATTGCTTATAAAGCTAAAAATGAATTTTTCATTTACCGCAAATGAATGAATGAAAAATTGAAATTTTGCTGCTTTGAATCCGAATTAAATCGTATGATGATGATGACAAAATCCGTCAACAGAATCATGTTACAATGGTTATTCTTTGTTGGATTTATGGATAATCAAAGCCTAAAAATGACAATATCAGATTATCAAGAAGTAACTCATGAGTTATAGAACCAAAAAATATTTAATTCAATCATCATGCATGAAAAACTAATGAGAAAAAAAATATCAAATCGAATCTAATTCTTTTTTTTCGGCGACAACAATGCTGCTACGAATGAAAGTGGATTTTTTTGTTTTTTATTTGATTTTTCCACTTTTTTCTTGTTCAAATTTTGCGATTGTTTCTCATCCAATTCAGGCCAATCGATTTGTTGTCCATTCATTTTAACCGCTGTGGTATGGTGGTTGTTCGATGATGGCCGATCATTAATGTTCAAATTCAAATCAGCAATATTGACGTCCATGGCTTGTTCACAATCACCATCATCATCATCTGAGAAAAATGATGATGATGCATCGATACAATCATCATCATCATCATCAGCATTTTCGACTAAATTCAATAAATTTAGCTGTTGTCGTATTTCATTCTTAACCGGTGATGATAATTGATCATGACGACATTTTCCCTGATGATTATAACCTTTATACGATGATGGTGGTGCCATTTCGAAAGAAAAAAAATTTTTGTTCCAGAAAGTGAAGGAAAAAAACACATGAAACGAATAAAAAAAAACAGGAACATCATCTATAGAAGTCATCTACCGCTACCTACCTGTATTGTTTCAATTCATAAATGACAGAATGGAAAAAATTTTGAATTTTTTTCAATGAAAATGAATATCGATCATCCTAGTTTGGTCAGATCCGGTTTTTTTTATTGGATAACAATAACAACAACCCACTGGAAATATATCGCCTACACGAAAAAAAAACTATACTGGGAAATCAACAAAAAAAAAGGTTTGATTTGTCGACAGAAATAATCAATGTGTGCAATCCACCCATTTTAATTTTGTTTTATATTTATTTAATTTTAGAAAATTCTCTTTCTCTTGACGAGAAATTTTTTTTTTTTTTTGACGTAGGCTGATGATATGACAAGTGTGTAACATGTAGGATTTCCTTTTTTTTTTTTTGCCACCTGCAAACATACAAGAAGCCAGTTCTTTTTGGTTTCTATTTGTCTTTGATGTCAAAAATGGAAAGAAAAAATCACCAGCCACAAACAAAATGATCCAATGTTTGCCCAGCAAAAAGAGTTTCATTCAATCGAATCGTTTTGTGCAGGTAAGATGTGTTTGTGTATGATGATTTTTTTTCACTCTGTCCATTTTTTTCCCGTCAAACAGATTTTTTTTTTTTTGAAAAGAAGAAAAAAAATTCCGTGCAACTTGTTGTTTATCATTTTGGATTTGTTATTTTGATTCAAATTTTACCCCAGTGATTTGATTTACATCGTGGCATTTGCATTTCGATCAGGTTTGTTTGTTGTTTGTTTATTTGTGTGTGTGTGTGTGTGTGTGTTGTTTACAAACATCCATTTTTTTCCCGCCACTAATGTGTCTATAGCTATGCCTATTTTTAGAACAAAATTTGACATTACAGAAAAAAATTCCATATGATCAAAATCTGAAAGAATCTGTGATTGCATTTTTGAAATAGTAATTACAGAATAATTTCATTCCAAAATCATCAATATTACAATCATGATGATTGAACATTGATCGATTTGCATGTGTAATATGTTCATGATTTGTAAACATGTCGATGTTAATGATGATGATGATGATGAAAAAAATTCCACATTCTTTATATATTCTTTACAAAAAAAAAGACATTTTCATTGCCAATTTTTTCTTTCACTTTTCATTGTTCTTTGAATGACTAAATTGCATTTACATTACTTTATACCTCACATCTTTCTTTATTCTTTCTTTGGCATACAAACACACAAACAAATAGAAAAGGATCCTATTTTTTTTTTTTTCTTTTCATGTTTGAATCAACAATTTTCTCCCCACTCTTTTTCACCATTCTCACTATTATTTGGCGAGAAAAGAGAGAAAATAGAAAAAAAAGTCTGTTTGATGAACAAATAATAATACGATGTTGATGATGATGTTAAAAGTGAAGAAAAGTGATTTTGTTTACTACAAACTCTGTTTTTTTCCACTTTCTGATTTTTTTTCTGAAAAACAAATTTTTCTTTCTTCTTTACACATCACACACTCTCTTATTACACGTTATACACGGTTGATTTGAGAATTTTAAAATCTCATTTTTTTCTCATTTTTTTTCTTCTTCCTGACTTTTAGACCAATATTCGATGATTGATTTTCTGTTTCGAACATTGTGATCTAGATACGGCAAGATATGATTTGATTTGTTGACAATATTATCATTTAAAAAATTTGATAAATTGTTTCATTCAAATTTAAATTTTCTCCTTATTGACTAATAACAACAACAATGGCAAGTCTACAATATCAAGGTTTGTTGCTGTTTTGTTTGAAACCTTTTTTCTGATTTACATTTTGAATCTTTTATTATTTGCATTTAGCACGAAGTGAATATTTATCCACAAATAATAAAGGTGGATCAACATTTGATTCAAGTAGCTTAGAACGATCTAAATCACCATTATCATCAGGTGGTGGTCAATTAATAACATCGGCTTTTGTGGATGGTTCACCATCATCTGGTGTTGGTACATCAACACAGGATTATAGTTATGCAACAACAACATCATCAACATCACCAATGGAAACTATTGTACAAGAATATCAAACCGCTGATGGTGGTATTGGTAAACGTGTATTGAAAACATTTACCACACAACAAACAACAACGAAAACAACACGTTATGGTAGTGATGGTGCCTTACGATCGGAAACTACAATCGATTCTACAACACCATACATGCGACAAACATCACCAATGCCAGCAAGAAGTTCATCTTCAATGTCAAAATTAACACATCATGTTGATGAAAACTGCAAACATGGTCATCATCATCATCATCATAATCAGAAAATTACCAAACCCGCTGGTTATAGTTTGTATCATGTTGAACGTCGTGAAGAAACAACACGTTCAAGTAGCGGTGGAAGTGGTGATGGTGGCACACAACCAATATCAACAACACCAACTGGATCATCACGTAAAGTAAAATTTCAGGATGAAGAATTCATAAATCGTAA